CCTATGCAGTATCCTTTATAAGCAGCACATTTCAGACAGTTGTGCTTCTCCTCCCCTGATCCTTTTCATCCTCATCTAGTAAACCAGAGTTTAATAGTTCATCTCAAAGGTGCTACGTATGGCTTCTCTTAATATCTGAGGCTACGTCTACACATCAATAAAAAAACCCATGGCACCGAATCTCAGAGCCCGGGTCAACTGGCTCAGGCTCATGGGGATCGGACTGAAGGGCTAACAATGGCAGCATAGATGTTTGGGCTCAGGCTGGAGTCCAGGATCCGAGACCCAACCCCTTGTGGGCCAGCTGCAGGTCTTTTCTTGCAGTGTAGACATACGCCCAGAGTCCCTTCTCTTAAGGAGGCCTCCCCGACTCTTTTCAGCCCCTACAGTTAGAAATACTCATCCTTTGGTCGGAGTCAAAGAATCCTTATTTATAATAACTACAATAATTGACTTTGCTTCTGCCTCAACCAGGACTAAAGATTTCCCTCAGCAGCTCTGACTAACCATTTTGCCTACAGCCTGGGCATTTATTGAGCATGTGGGAACCATTTATTGCCTGTGCCTTGAAGTGGTTTTGATTATCTCCCCATTACCTCTTAATTATATTGGTAGCCTTTTGCCAAGTGAGAGGTGAACATGGTGAAGGAGGATGGCAGGGTTGGGGCTATTGAAACAAATTACATGTTTTGGATCAATGGGGAAAAGGTCTTTTTAAAAAAATTCTTTCTTCATCCTGAACGTGTAGATTTTTCTAATTGTAAGCAGCTGGTGGCTTGGCTAATGGAATGGACTCTCCTAGTGAATTGCTCTTCCAGTAGTATCTCTGCTTGGTAGTGCAGGGGGATTATTAAGATTTAAGAAGTTATTAGAATAGATAACTAAAATCCAGTTTATTGATTATCACCTCTAGTCTTACGTTTGCAAATGTTCCTTGACAAAGAAAAATTGCTTAGCCTCTTGATGTTAATGCTATGCCCATGAGCCAAGGAGGAGCAATTCTGTCTAGTGAATAAATTAGTTACTGTATAAAACACTCTTTGGTGGTGGTGCAGCAGTTTAAGTCCCTAGCCTGTCATCTTAAAATGACAGGGTTCAAATGCTAAATCGAGAAATGTCTTAAATGAGTTTTGAAGAGGGTGAGAGGATAAACATTGCAAAAGTGCCTCAATCCCGTGTTTCAGAAGAGACTTAGGCACTTTGGAGCATAAGTTCCATTAAGATTTTTAAAAATGGAACTTGGGTGCTTCAGAAAATGTTTCCCTAGAAGAGTAGCAGCCCATGTGACAAAACATCAGATGAGCTGGTAAATGTTCAATAGAGATCACTGTTCTGTATTTGAAATGAAGTAGGAGGATATATCCATTTCATGTGATGTTGTGTATGAAATAGAAACTTTATCGCCTGTAATAAAGGAAGGTGCAAGGCAGCATTCGCTACTATTCAATTTTTTTAAATCAACAGACCCCGGGTAACTTAAACCCAAGAGTCTTGAAGGAACTAGCTGAGGAGCTCTCTGAGCCAACCGCTAATGTTAATTTTTAAGAAATCTTGGAGTACTGGGGAAATGCAAAGAATTAGAGGTCTGCTCATTTGTTTACAAAAGGATAAAAGGGATCCCAAAGGAACTATTGACTGGCTAACCTGATGTTGATCTCGGGTAAAATAATGGAATGATTAATTTGGAACACGTTTAACAAAGAATTAGTGGCTAAAAATACAATGAATGCCAGTCAGCATGGTTTCACTGCAGGTAGGTCTCGTCAAATAGACCTGTTAATTTAACAAGATTACAGGTCTTGTTGATAAAGGCAATGGTATTGACATAATATACTTAGATTTCTCCAAGGCATTTGATTAAGTGCTTGTCCACACGGACACTTAGTGCGTGGCAAACTGGAATGTAAATTTACAGCACACTAGTCTGCCATGCATGAAAAGTTCCGTGGTGTGCTTTGACAAGCTGCTATTTCCCAGCGAACTTTTAGTGCATGGTAGCAGGGCCAAACAGTGACTTAGTGCGCTGTAGATTTACACGCTGCCTCCAAGTGGTCAAGCCCTTAGTACCACATGACATTTGTATTAAACTTGAATCATATGGAATTAACAGGGCACACGTTAGATGGATTAAAAACTGTCTTGCTGACAGATCTCGGAATGTAGTTGTTAATGGGGGGATAGCAATGAGCGGAGCTGTTTCTGTCAGGGTCCCACAGGAACTGGTTCTTCGTCCAATGCTATTTTATATTATCAACAATCTAGACAATGATATAAAATCTTCGCTGGTAAAGTTTGCAGATGACACAACTATTGGTGGTCTAGTAAATAATGAGGAGGACAGGTTACTGTTAGTGATCTGAATCACCTGGTTCAATGGTCACAATCCAACAAAATGTATGTTAATATAGCCATATGCAAGAAAGTACATCTGGGAACAAAGAATGCAGGTGGTTACTTACAGGATGGGAGACTGTGTATTGGAAAGCAGTGACTTAGGTAGATAATCACGTCAACATGAGCTCTCAGTGCAGTTCTGTGGTGAAAAGGCTAATGCAATACTTGGATGTATAAACAGGGGAATATCAAGCAGAATAATCCAGGGGCTAGATTATTTTTTGCAGTGTGGGGTGTGAGGAGCTTGATTTATTCAGTTTATAGAAGGGAAGACAAAGAGGTGACTCGATCACTGTGTCTAGGAATTATATGTGAAAAAGACATTGAGTGGGGTGGGGTGGGGCTTTTCAATCTTACCGTTAACGGTGTAACAAGTTCCAGTGGGTGCAAGCTGAAGTTAGACAAATTCAACCTTGAAATAAGATGTAATTTCCTAGCAGTGAGGGTGATAAAACATTGGAACAGTTTACCAGGGGAATTGGTTGACTTGACTTTCCTTGAAGTCTTTAAAATGAGATTAGAAATCTTGCTAAAATATATGCTTTAATCCAGCTGCTGGGAGAAATTTTATGACCTATGCTCATTGGGGCAGCTAGCCTTGGAATCTGTGAATCTTCCTGTTCATCCTTGTCCTTCGTAGGCCTTTGGAAGAACATGGCTGCCTACATTGCCCTTAACATGCTGGTAAGACTTGAAGCTTTGCAATAAGATAACTGTAATCAAATCCCATGCTTCAGAGCTTCAGCCAGTTGCCTGCAGATGTCAGGAAGGAATTTTTCCCTTGAGGCACAATTTTTCAAATGTATTTGGGTTGGTGCCTTACTCTGAAACATCAGAGATTGACCACAGCTGGAGATGGGATGGATCAGTGCTCTGAAGTGGTACAGAGAATCCTCTTTCCTAAATATCTGGCTGATGTGTCTTGCTTACATTCTCAGGATCAAACTGGTTGCCTGGGAATTTCCCCCAAGTTAGAATGGCAAAGACTTTAGGGGGTTTACACCTTCCTCTGTGGCATGGAGCCTTTCTCTGCTAGGATCCTCTCGGTTTGTCTCAACTAATCAATTCCTTGCCGTTTCAGGCATTGGCCCCTTCTGTTCTCCGCCTGTGGCACACAACAATGTGGTCTCTGTAGGACTGAAATGCTTTAGTCTAACTAAAGTAATTGGGATTAATATAGGGATATCTGAGTGAACTTTAATGACCTTTGATATGCGGGAGGTCAGAGTAGATGATCTAGTGGTCCCTTCTGGCCTTAAATTCTATGAAAATATGAAACACTTGTGAAATCAGCACTTTGCCAAGGGTGGTATACTGGCAGTTTGGCCAGTGCTGACTTACCTCTTGCCTGAGTAACTTGCCTCATTTCAAGGGCATTAATTCTCCTTCTATTGCGTACCCATAAAAAACACTGGATGTCTTTTGAGCAGTTGCTTGATAATTAGTCACTTCTGGTAGATTTCCAAGTCCCTCCCCCATAAAACTTCTGTTACAGTGTACAACTTAACAAGACTGATCCCTAAGATCTTTCAACTATTTCCCTATGTTTTTCCTTGGCTCATTGTATACGTATCACCAGCACAAATGTGTACAACAAATCTCCTTAAACAAGGTAGCCATGCAAAACCCAGATCAGAGTAGGATTAATGCAGATAAGGCCACCCTTCAACAGTACAGAATTTCCAAGTCTAGAGTTTTGAAGAGAAGCTTTATCATGATCCTGTCAGTGTATTAGTGAGTTGTGACTCGCAGGGCCTGTCAACAGGAGTAATTCTTGATGAAGCATATTGGCATGCCTAATAGACTGGAAGCTAATCTTCGAAAGGATGTACTCGGCACCTTAGAAGTGTGTGCTTTAGGATTATGGGTCATGTTGGAGCTGTCCCCTGCTGGTGGATATTAATAAGACAGCAATGAGAATTTGATAATGAGAACATGAAAGTTCACTTTAAAAAGTGGCTGTTCCAGTTAAAACAAGAGCAGGCACAGATTCGTTTTCTAGTTAAGTAGATAGTTAATATCAACATTTCATGAAGAGTTGTGTGTCTGCCAAGCCTGGAAGTACTAAGTGGCAGTCATACAGTGTCGCACATGAGCAACAAGATGCCAGACTCCATTAATGTCAGTGGGAGTTCCATGGTTTTTTACCTTTGAATTGTGCTAGAAATATGCCAACTAACTACAGGTCTCACTGAACAGTGGAGTTGTAATGTAAGAACTTCCTCCTTCCAATTTACAGTCAATCCAGGATTGTTATTTTTTCAGTTTATAAAAATACACATGTTGTGCCATATAAACACAGGGGCAGAAAAGTAGAACATCAAATAAATCTGCCTGCCTTTTAGATTAGAGGGAATTTAGTCTTTATATAGAAGTAGTATGCTTACTGAGATTGTGCGGTGTGTTGTGATTCTGGACAAGGGCTGCTGTTGCTGCTTTGCATGAGTACGAACTGGCCTCCTGAGAATTGAAGAGCTATTACATATTAACTAAGCCAGTTTGGTATCTCTATAAGTTGTCCATCCTCTAATAATCAGCAGTTCAGACTTCTCCCAGTATTGTATACTCATATTCCAGGATGACCTGTCTCTCACTTGTTTCTCCAGGCAAGCTTGGGACCTCGCAGTTGATATTTGCCTTTCCCAATTACCAACAATCATAGAGGAAGGAACTGCATTTCGGGTAAGTTACTCAGGCATTGAAATGTGCTGTGTCCATTAGTCAATGTTCCAGCCCATGAAATCTCCTTTTTTATTAAGTCTGGAATTCTTGCAGCCAAGGAACTAGGATTGGGTGGAGCTTACATTTCCTGGGAGATCATAAACTGCCAATCAGCTAATTTAAAGGAGTAGGCTTAGGGTCAGTTTAAAATCTTTCATTAGCATATAACATTTCTGAATGAGTGAATGCACTTGAATTCAGAGACCTTGCTCGTATAGGCATATGGAGTGATATGTGCACATATACTTCAGAACTCTCTTAGTGAGATGTCATAATTAAGTTGAGGTGAGGGTTTCTTCTGTTCAGTGCCAGTTTTCATTGTTTTAAAAATTGGTGGGGAGGAAGAAATTCTTACTGGCAGAAACCTGTAGATTCTAGGTCTAGGTTTGAAAAAGCTCAGTGACGTGAGCTTTCTACTAATACAGCACACCACTGTGATTTACAATTCAATCATTTTTAATAACCATGTAAAAACCTGCAAAAATGAATTGTTTAATGGAGGTGTCTTCAAATAATACAGAGCGAAGTTGTACTTGGTAAGTTTGGGGGTACTTTACACCATTTCTTTAGAACAGGAGGTGATTCAGTAAAAGTGGTCTCATTAATGAGATTCACTACATTTGTTGCTGCCCTTTCGATTATCTCAAGCAGCGAAGAGCCTGAATGTTTTAACATAAAATTTGTCCCATATTCCTATAGATGGGATGGGTTTCTCTTGATGTTCTTCTGATGCCTCCTGAATGGAAACCTTTTAATAATGACTATTACAGTCTGGTTGGTCGTAATGTTCTGATAGGCTCGAGGATGAACTCCATTATAGTCACTGGAGGAAAGTAAATATGGGTTTCCTATATGGGATTATTTTGGTTTTGACAGGCCTATAGCAGTTTTCAAATCCAAGAACATAAGAGACTCTGACATCTTTCCCAGCTAACGTTTTTGTTTGCTCTTAACCCCAGTTTTCTTTCTTATCTGATCTATCTCCTCCTTTTCCAGAAACAGATGGAGGTGTTTTTTACTTGTTCATGCTCTGTTTCAATGACCTTTCCCAATAACTTATTTTATTAATCAGACCCATTGTTTGAATAGTTCTACCTACATTCCCTGCCTACTCCTAGTTTCATAATTTTTAGATGATGAATTGATCAATTTAATTTTTGATTAGTGATAAATTGTTGTCATCCATGTTTTAAAACAAATCCGAAGAAGCTGATAAATTAATACGTTGCTCTGAGGTTCCCAGTGTGTGTTTGTATTGTCAGTCTCTCTTGACTGTAAGCTTCGCAGACTGGGATGGTGGTGCCTTTGGTAACATTCACAGATTATCTCCGCAGCAGTTTGACTGGACCTGATAGGGAGCAGGTTGCTGTCAGAAAGGCCAGAGAGAAGGTCGGTATTTCTGCACTGCAATAAAACCCCCATGGCTGGCTCACATCACCTGACTTGGGCTCACGAGGCACAGGTTTTGGGGCTATAAAATTGTAGTGTAGACGTTCGGACTTAGGCTCCTGCCTGGGCTCTGGGACCCTCCCCACTCGTGGGGTCTCAGAGCCTGGGCTCCAGGTCAAGCCCAAACAGCCACTCTGCAATTTTATAGCCCTGCAGCACGAGCCCCAGAGACCAAGTCAGAGGACTTAGACCAGCTGCAGCGTTTTCTTGCAGTGCAGACATGCCTGGAGATTGCTGTAATCAAGACAGAAGAAACAGGATGAGAGTTGAAGTGTTGCAGACAGAGATAAAAAGCCTTGCAGTCTGTCTTCCATTTTCTAGGGCTAGGATCCTAATGTAAGTTTATAAGAGAGGCAATATAGCTATATAGCAAACTCTGTATCTCAGTAGGTATAGCAGGATCTGATCTGCAATGCATCCAGATACATTACAGTGACTGGCTGAGAGCCCAGTGTAGATTTATGAGAATAAAGTACTGCATTTGCTAGACTCCTTTTGTGATTGAGCTGGTTCAGAGAGAGTAACTCTGATAATATGCAAATTTGTGTGGTTTTAAACTAGCTATTCCCATGCAAGCTAAATGGCCGTTAAAGTTGAAACAAACCATCAGAAGAGAAATCTTTGCTTAGCCCTATTGCAGGTAGTTTGACTTTCTGTACAACCAGTTTGAATAGATTCCAGAATATAACCTCAAAATCTATATAGCATAAATCCATAATAGATTAATGTAAATGAACACTAGTCAGCCAAGCAAGTGAAATGAAACTGGTATTTACTTGGAAACATAAATGATTTTCTCTAAAACCTTCCATGCAAGGAGTTTTAATGTGTCCTAGGATATGGATCTTGAATGATACTAAGTATCCAGGGATGGGGTATAACCTTTAGTAACACTTGTATTTTGGATTTCGGCCTTCCACACACACGTGGAATAAAATGAGTTTCTACAGTAATGACCTTGCTGTCCATGCATATTATCAAATTGTATTTTCCCAGTAGGTTTAGTGGCTGAAGTTGTATCCAAGTGCCTGAATGCAGCACAAACACTTTGGCTCTTTTGGGAGTGAAGCTGGTAAATGCTCACACACCCTTTAATTCCCTTCCCTTTTCTATACGTACTCTGTATTGTAAAATAGCAATAAATGTCATTGCCCCCTGCTATTGCAGTTCTGTGACGCTGCTCTGATAGTGCACATAATATGCCCCTGTGGCAGTCTTGGGCATCTTCAGCTGACTTACAGTAAAGAGTGGGCATGTTTCAGGGGTGAGAACAGAGAAATATCCACCAGGGACTAGGTAAGAAGCCAGCAAACTCTATTCACTTTACAACCTAAGCAAGACAATCAGAAGTGAAAACAAGCCATCCTCCAAGCTCCAGTCAATGCCGTGTTGTAAGTCTGATATGGCCAAGGCTGGCTGTATAGCTTGCAAGAGGAAGGAGGGTGTTGCTTTGTCAAACAGACATAAAGAAGGTGAAGCTTATTTTTTCAGTTTGGGGGCGGGGGGTGGAAGGGGCTTTGCTTTCTACTGCGAAGCTTTGACAAATGATTGAAATGGAAAGACAGCTGAACATCCTTGATCAATTCCTTGTTTTCTAAATAAACATTCTGCCCTCCAACCTCTGCTTTATACCCAGCAGGAAGCATTGTAAGCATTGTATATCAGACAAGGTTAGCTGCTGCCAGCCAATGCTAATCCTATAAGAAATTGTTGTTTAATGCAGGGTGGGGGTAAGTTTTATTAAGGTTAATCAGTCTGTTTCATAACGGGGCTGGCAGGAACAGCAATCAGTGTCTCAGATGTCAAATGCTCTAGTGAGAGTCAGAGGATTACTGAGCTACCATTTGTACTCTGGCCTTTTTGGCCACTGTGGGCTTAGATTCCAGTCCAGCCCTGGATAAAGTAATTGATAATCTCTTCTTCAGGGCTGTTTTGTTTCAAAAGCATATTATAAAAAACATAAGCCACTGACTTCTGAGTATTCTCCTCTAGTCAAAGCTGGAAAAACGGGGTTATCTGCTGGAGAGGAGCCTGTAGTCTAGACACATTCTTCCAGGGAAGAAGCATGTTGGAGTTGTGTGTGCATGCACACTTGAATGTGCTTTGAAGGTTCTTTTTCCCAATGGAGTTCTATTCTGGAAGCTGTTGTGTCCTATAGCTGGCCCTTTCTCACAGCCCGTTTGTATTGCAAGCCTTACGTGACATAAGGCAAAAGGAATTGTTCTTCCAAGAGAATCTAGAGCAGGGGATCCTGCCATGCTGACTGGCAAGTTGTCATGAACCCCTTAGTGTCACAGCTGAGTTAAATGGCAATAGGGTGACCAGATGTCCCAATTTTATAGGGACAGTCCTGATTTTGGGGTCTTTATCTTATATAGACTCCTATTACCCCCCAGTCCTGACCTAATTTTTCACATTTGCTGTCTGGTCACCCTAAATGGCAATGCATTTTGTGCCAATGTTTTACATCTTCCTGGTCCCACAGGGGTTAGAATTAAATCCCAGACAAATGACTGATTTCCCCTGCAAAGAGAAATTAAGAGTATTGAAAATCCATGAGTGCCAAGATGAACTTGCCCTTTAAGCCTACCCCACTCACAACTATCAAGTACAAATTGATAATACCCTGTGCTTGCCCTATATAGCATTTTCCACCTGAAGATCTGAAAGCACTTTACAATGAGGAAATGCCACTTCCGGTGTCTCCACTTTCTAACACTAAGTATGCCGTGATCTGATCTGAATGAGATTCTCCAGCAGCCATGAGCTACTCCTGCACGTTGTGATGGGTTACTCCCAGCACACAATAGGATTATAGGCTTAGATCAAAGGAGTTGTCTGAAATTGTAGGGTGGACTGCCTCTCACATCTATTCCCCTTTAGGAAGGGTATATGGGGTAGAAAGGTGATTTATAAAGAGGAATTTAGGACTATCTAACTCATTTGCTTCTTTGCCTTTTGCGATGCATAGTTCCTAACCTCATTCATGAAGCAGTCAGTGTAAATGTATTGTCTCTTTGCCTCTCACTTTATATTCTGTACACAGACACACATTGCACTCCAAAACAGGCACCAATAACCTCCGTCTAATATGCCACAAAAATGACAAATCTCAGACTGAGACTACACTGTGCATTTCTGTTGTTGATCTATAAGGACGCCTGGGCGCTCACCCTGTTTATAGGACCACCACAGTAACACTTTCTGCCACTCGGAGTATTTAGCACTTCCACTGCTTTTTTTTTGGTTATCCTTCACACCATTCCCCTTGTGTCTAGGGACAGAGACCAGCACAGTTCTCACTACAAATGCTTGAAAGCAGTTGTTCCGTTAGCACTCTGTGGTCTCTTTGAGTAGTTTTCTATCAGAACACAGCCATTGTTATTGTTTGTAACGCAGTGTATGAATAGCTCAGATTTAGAGAAAACTCCCCTACATTTTTTAGTTGTTAATCCAAATGTGATTAATTCCAGATTCCTTTATTCAGGTTGGTCCTGTGTACAGTTATCTCAAATGTTTTCCAAGTACTGAGCAGTGTTTTCATCCTTTTTTCCTATAATAGCATCTATAAATAAAAAATAAATTAAATTATAAATTAATGGAGATATCCTATCTCCTAGAACTGGAAGGGACCTTGAAAGGTCATTGAGTCCAGCCCCCTGCCTTCACTAGCAGGACCAAGTACTGATTTTTGCCCCAGATCTCTAAGTGGCCCCCTCAAGGATTGAACTCACAACCCTGGGTTTAGCAGGCCAATGCTCAAACCACTGAGCTATCCCTCGCCCCTGCCAATCTCCTCTTGGATTCCATTCTGCAGTACTCCACAAGTCAGTTCCCGGCTTATTTCCCTACATTGCTAAGATCTTACCTGCTGAATCAGGGAATTCATTATTATAAGTAGTTGTTTCAGATTCTTCTTGTTTGCATACTTGAAGCCTTAGATACTCTGCCGATCACCACCAGGATCAGTGGATGTGAGGGAATGAAGGGTATTTTTTTTTTTTTTTGTAAAAAGCAACCCTCTATACAGCCCCAAAACTTCATCTTGAATCACCAGCCTTTTTCAGAGGAGCTGTAAGGCAGCCCGGGGAGCATGAGACGGGGCACACATCTTTTTCATTCTTGCTCGATTATTTTCACCTTGGACTTGGCAAAGGCAGAGCCATGCATTAAATAAGTGGAACTGCCTCTACAGGAAGATAAATTAACTGCTGCTCTCTCTACTCTGCATGTGGAAAAACATGTTCAAATTTTCCCTAAACCTTTTTACTCAAGAGATCTTCACCCACCTTATTTTTCCTTTTCCCCTGCCCTTCTTTAAAACAAATGGGCAGGGGAGTCGGGCATATTTCCTGTGCTGTGTGAGGATGCATGAGATCGGTGTTTGAGAAATCCTTTTTAGTCGTTATGTGCCTTAATTGAAAGGAATAGTTGTTGGGAACAACACACCATACTAGTTAATTGATGCCAAAGCCTGTGGTCTCACGTGGTCTAGGAGCAGACAAACATCACACAGGTGCACACCCTCATAAAGAGGACAGCTCAAAATTCACTTCTGTATTCTCGTTCCAACAGCACAGCCCATTCTTTGCTGAGCAGCTAACAGCATTCCAGGTGTGGCTAACGATGGGAGTGGAGAACCGGAACCCGCCAGAACAACTGCCAATAGTTCTGCAGGTGAGTCGCTTGGGCAAGGGCCAGGTAGTGAGTTAAGCTAGCTGGCACTGCTGAGACTCCTGGGCACTCATGTGAATGTGTTTACATGCATGTCTTTCCCTGCCTGCCGAGTGCCGTGCACTCAGCCAGATGATGTTTGGGTACATAAATTACGTGGGTTCATTCAGGACTAATTGAACTTGATTGTGTGTTTGCTAGACCCTTGCTGATAGACACATTTGTCTTATCTCTTTGTCCCCCCCACCTCTACACCTTCAGAGAAGCATATAAATTCTTGCTGTCGTCTAGTAGCACTTCAACAGCATCAAGCTCCCTCGTCCTCTCCTATTTAGCTGTGAATCAGCAAAGCTTTTTCCCAGAATGGTGCATTTGCTGTATTGCTTCCTCCCGTACCTTCCCATCACACCTGCTAGTTCTGTGAGGCAGGGACGTTGTCTTCTTTCTGCATTTGCAAAGCAGGCGCTGCTGCAGTCTACGTGACGAGTGAATGGTTCCTGTGTCTGTCCCCTAACAGGGAAAGAGGGTCTGGTACAAGTACAGGAAAGGGTTCAAAGTATCACAGCTGGCGTGTATTGGGAAGCAGCACAGGCATGAGGCTCAGAAGGCCACTGCTGCTCCTCTGCACTCCTTCCTATCTGCTTGGGGTGGTCTGAGTTCATCTATAGAAAGGGAAAAATACAGTTTCAGAGCGAACCCTGGGGAGCCCTAGAATCTCATCTTAAACCAAGTGTCCTGGGGAGCGAAGGCAGAATGCCCACCTACACCCCCAAATGCAAATCCTCATCAAGGCAGCTTTGGTCACTTTTCCCTTAGGTCGAAAACTATAGATCCGCTCCCACTCAAAGGAATGGGGTCCTAGTCTTCCACATGTCCAGGGACATTTGTTTTCCATCCCCATCATGGAAGAAGACTCGCCTTCCCACTAACAGACAGTACCATCAATCTTTTGGAGACCAAATCTTAATTTTTCTGAGCCTCCTGAGGCTGAGATCGGTTGGAAAAAGAGATGTGCTGTTTATCTCTGTCACTGCAATGGAAGCCGGCAGGTTTCTTCTCTGGCATTATGTCCTCTGCCTTCCACTGAATTAGTTGGCACTAGGAAGCTCTTCTGGTAATTAATCTTGCAGCGGTATTGAGATTTCACCTGGTTCAGGAACATGCTTCCATCATCTCAAAAGGTGAGACTAGGATAGAGCAGCGTGACCACTGTAAACGTTAAAGCATTGCAGTGTGTGGAGGGAAATGTGTTCACACGCTGCTTTATAAATGGGGATTGTTGTTTGAGTTGTGATGTGTCCGTGAACGATTGGGAGGGGGAAGGGTGCACATTTCAACCCCCTCTTGAATGCCGTGTCACATAGATCTTATGTCTACTGAACTGCACCCCTGTGGCCTAAAGAGGTACATTGCTGCGAATGTATCCCTGGAGAGACGGGCATGTGAGTGCCACAGGCATGGTGCCAGACATGGGAAACCTGGTTCTGCCGAGGACCGGAAATCAGTCCTTTTGTAAATGGTCTTTTATTGACTTATAAACATTGCAGTCCATTTAGAATCACTGCTCTCTCGGGGGAAGATCTGACAAAGCCAGATTTCTGATTCAGAGAAAAGCGAGAGGAGAACTTTACAAAGAGAAAAGTTAGCGCATTCAGTCTGAGAGTCTGAAACAAGCCGGAGCAGAGGCACTTCTTTTCCAGGCTGTGAGAGTGCAGATAGACAGGATTAACACTTGCCCCACGGAGGTAAATAGGAGATGCAGAGCAAGTTTTTGTTTCATGCAGTGTTGCCCTGTAATAATGGCAGCTGCTGCTGCTGCATTGACCTGATTTCTTCTATCCTGCATTACCTCGGAGCTTTAATGCTAACGCCTGGACCCCGTTATCCATCAATTATCCTCCCATGCCTAGGCAGCACTGCAACTTGCATGCTCAGGCTTCCTTGGCTTTTTCAGATCCACTTCCCTCCTTATCAGCTTGGTGCTCCAGATTTCAAAATGCTGCCTGCTTCTAACCTTGAGCAGGGCTCCCTGTTGCTGGACAGCTATTGAGAGTTATGTGTAGTCAGGGCCAGCACCAGGCACCAGCCCAGCAAGCAGGTGCTTGGGGCAGCCAAGGGGAAGGGGCGGCACATCGGGCTGTTCGGCGGCAATTCGGCGGCGGGTCCCTCTCGGAGGGAAGCACCTGCCGCCGAATTCCTGCCGAAGAAGAAAGCGGCGCGGTGGAGCTGCTGCTGGAGTGCCGCCGATTGCAACTGCAGCTTTTTTTATTTTTTCCCGCCGCTTGGGGTGGCAAAAACCCTGGAGCCAGGCCTGTGTGTAGTTGTTGGATCTAACAAACCAAACTGATTTGTAATCCAGACCTCTAAATGCCCCTGCAGCCCGCCTCTTCTGGTTAGAAATGATGTTGTATCCTTTTAGGGAATGGAGAGATTACCCCTATGCAGTTGGTATGAAGATGCAGTTCTTATAGCAATATCTCCCTCCTGGTTTCTTTTAAGCTCATATCATTATTGTCACAAGGCTCCTGTGTCCATATCACTTTTGTCTTCAGGTCATTGTGCCGCTTTGCTTCAGGAAAGTGGATGTGCATAAAAGAGACCCCGATACTTTTCTCAGATAATGAATTGCAAGTTTAATTAAATCTTGGAGATATTTTATTTTATACATGCCTCTGTGATATTAACAGCAGTAAGATGCATGATCATTTAGAAACCCTTTTAAAATTGCATCTAATTTTTTTCCTGTCTTTGACAGAATTTGTGGATTTATTTAATTCTTATGAAAGGGATTAATATGCACAGCCCACCTGCTCTCAGCTTTCTCTGCCAATGCACCTTACACCTAGCCTGCACCACCCTCTCTTACTCTCAGTCCTGTCTTGCCCTACCCCCTCTAATCTCTGCTACTGTCTAGAACAGCGCTCCCTGATACTAATGCCAGGCCTCTTCTGAGCACACTGCTAATTGTGCCAAATTATAAGCGGTTTTATGGTGTCGACAGATGCCAGCTAGGGTGCGATGACCAAAGTCCTTTCTCTTTTGACCTATATTGGGATTGGAGCATTATTAAGAGGTGAAAGGTCAGTATGCTGTCTGTAGCCTCACACAAATGCCATCCTTTCCTTCTGGCCCTCCGCATGAACCTTAGTGTCGCTCTCGTGGGCCGCAGTATGAAGCATGACCCAGCAGTATTAGTTACTGCTGTTTAACTTTTAAAGTGGAAGACCACCAAATAATGGGGGGGGGGGAATGAGGGGGCAAATTGTGGAGCCAAATCAGGGAGCTTCTGCCATGATCTATACTGGGGGATATTACTCGTTTTAAACAGAGGATTAAACATTGCATTCCAAAATCTTACATCTGGTAAAGAGATTCACGTCTGGAGGTCTCAATCTGTGCATATTTCACACCACTGTAAATATAAGCCAGTAGAACTCTCATTATCGGCATCAAATTCTGTTTTAATAAGATTTTTATTGAAGACTAATGTGACCCCTTGCTTAAATCCTTAGTCTCTTACATCCATTTGCCAAGGATAGCAAAAACTTATTTCTGCTTCCGAGTTGTTTTGGGTAATGGGAGATCGGGCTTACTGCTCATCCCGAACACTTCCACTGGATGCCATCCTGCTCCTGCTTTGTCTCCTTTCTTCCCTCTGTAAATCAGGAGAGAACATTTCACAGCCCGAATGGCTGCTTCTAGCAGGCCTGTGCTGGATCGCTGCTTCTGTGCCAGAGAGAGATGTGAGCAGATGGCATGTGTCAGAAATCCCACTTTCCTAGAGTTGGGAAAACAAACTGCATTCCAAGAAAAAAACATGTGCATATGTCTGCATAAAACTTTCCAGAGGGGAGCATTGCTGCATTAGAAGATGACTGTTACCCAGATAGCGCTGATGGGACAAGCTCCAGCCAGTCAGCTCTCTTGCCTTTCAACGTTATTCACTGGCTTGAAACTTAAGCCTTAGACGAGGCTGTTGTGTCTGAGCGTGGAGCCTCTGTGAGGTCTCGTTATACGTGCCTGGCTGTTACACGGCTTTCCGTTCATGGCACTAATCTTTGTTTTCCCCCTCTCTCTGCAGGTGCTGCTGAGCCAGGTGCATCGGCTGCGAGCTCTTGACTTGTTGGGAAGATTTCTGGACCTGGGTCCCTGGGCCGTTAGCTTGGTGCGTACAATGTTGCACTGGCCCTTTGAAAGGGAGTGATTTTTTTCAGTGTAGACAATATGGTCTGAAGGATGATTTATGAATGCAGGGTGTGGAAAATATGCCCTGAGTTTGGAGCACTGATCAGTATCTGACAGCAGTCAGGTGGCCTTGAGGTCAACATAAACCAGGTTGCCAGAGCTTAAGCAGGATTTGGAAGCTGCTGAGAGTCCTTTATATTTAGTCCATGTCAGCTTTAGTCCACGTTGTCCATGTTTTGCTCCTTCTCTTCAGCTGAGATTATGAATAGTGATGGCTTCTGCATAAAAGTACATGTGGAGACACGGACAGCATCTAATGGGCATGTGAGACCTGTGGAACTAATTATCCAGATGAAATGAAGTCCCTGAACCCAAGTAACAATCATGAGCATTTCCTTTTGCTAAGAAACAAGTTCATCCCCAGGAAGTTATGGGATCAGACATATTTGTTTCACCTGTCCTTCATGCCTGGGAAGATGCACTTGAGAGGATGGCAGCTTGGATTGAGGGAGAAGGTCAAACAGCTGGGCTTGGTCTGAACTAGCTACAACTGGGCAAGGAGCAGTTTGGGGGTAGTTAATTAATTTTTTTAATATATAAAAATATTTTCATTAACAAAGTAAGAGTTTAAAATGGCTAGAACGGCTGGGATGGTTTATAAACTATCATATAAACTAAATTAAACATGGAACTAGCCAGTTGTCTATCATCCCCCTGGTCACTTGACTTGTATGCTGTATCTCTTTAGTCTCGTCCTTCATCCATTTGGTCTTTTTAGATCGTGTGAGCTGTCCAGGGCACGGACAGCCGCCTTCTGCATTTGGAAAGTGCCTAGCACCGTGTGGGTAATAAATACGAATGGGACAGGAGTGTCACTTGAAATACAAATGTGAATGATTTCAGGTGCCTTCTGTTAGCAGAGGGTGCTGGTGAGACTCTGACAGCAGGGATGTAATGGGACCTTCACAGATTTTTCTCTTTCATCCTCCTCCCAGACCTGTTCCCACACTACTTAGGTCAGATTCTGTTCTGCACCTTCTGGAAGCATAGCACACAGGGCCGGCTCTGGCTTTTTTTGCTGGGAGCGCGGCAGAGGAGGGCGCCGAGCCCGGCTGTGGCCCCGCTCTCCCCGGCCGGCCGGAGCGCTGTGGGGAGGGTAGCGAGCCCGGCTGGGGCCCGCTCTCCCCCACTGGTTGGAGCGCCGGGCGGCGAGCCCGGCCGCGGGTCCACTCTCCCCAGCCAGCCAGAGCGCCGGGGGAGGGCGGCCCCGGCCGGCCAGAGCGCCGGGGGAGGGCGGCCCCGGCCAACCAAAGTGCTGGTGGGAGGGCGGCAAGCCCGGCCGCGGCCCCGCTCTCCCCGGCCAGCCAGAGCACCGGGGAAGGGCGGCGAGCCTGGCCACGGCCCCGCTCTCCCCGGGTGAGCGCCGCCCCCCTCCAGGTGCCTCCCCAAGCACATGCTTGGAGGGCTGGTGCCTGGAGCCGGCCCTGATAGCACAGAAGGCATAGCCCTAGGAGGGAGGGGAGTCAAAGGTGGCTTTAAACTCTCTGGATTGCAAGCTGCTGCAGGAGCCAAAACATGAGCAATTCATGGTGCTGACTTGAAATTACTGTTGCCTCCCTTGTGCTCCTATGGCCTGCATTGTAAGCCAGACTCACCATAGCAGTGTGTGCCGGGGTCCTTCTTCACTAGCTTTATACCGTGCATGGCCTATGGCAACCCAGTGCAGTGCCTGTGAAGGGAGGACTTCCGCCTTACCCCCTGTGGGCTGTTCACAGCCCTTATACATCACTGGTCTAGCATATAGGTGCTGGAGTAGGGGGACAGAATTCTTCCCTTCAGGTTTATTTTGCACTGCACTTGTATAGACTATCTATAGTAACCACTCAGTAATGGTGAAATGCTAAACAATTTAACTAGCTATGTGTCCTCCTGCCTGCTATTAGTCTCTAATACTGTACAAGTTGCTTATTTAAAAGCCTCTGTAAGTGTGGGAGGCATGTATGATTTCCAGTGGAAGGGCTGTAATTAATGAGTTTTTACAATCTGTTTACTTGTGGGAGCAAATAGCCCCATCTGAGGGAGGAAAGTGGCACGTCATGAGGCGTGAAGAATCACATGCTGTAACGAATAAAAGCTGGTGTTAAATTAACTCATCATCTCAGCGGGCCAAATATCTGGGGACATCCAGGAATAAAATCAGAGATAAATAACTACACAGGAGTCCCCTCTTTACTATAAATGTATGATATTAATTTCTACCAGATTTCCCATATGTGCCATAAATATGTAGCATCTACGTAAAGGCTGCAATCCTGACACCTGTCCAGCTCTCCTCCTGCGGGGGTCTTGGAGACTTATGGTAATTCGCTGTTCTACCTTTCTCCCCAGGCGCTCTCTGTTGGCATTTTCCCTTATGTGCTGAAGCTGCTTCAGAGTTCAGCTCGGGAACTGAGACCACTTCTTGTCTTCATCTGGGCCAAAATTCTTGCGGTGGACAGTGTGAGTAATCTTGAAGTGTTACTGCTTTTTATTTGTTTCCAGGAACATCCTTTATTGTTCTCTTCCTTAGCCAATTGCTTTAAAGTTGGAGGCAGACAGTACAATCTACAATGAAATGCAGGAGGCTGGATTTAAAACCAATGTATTCATTTCGTAGGAGTTCCCACCTGTGAAGTTACTAGTGCATTAGAGTTGCCTGCTGAGAATTTCTGAATGTGAAATCCCCATTGATGCAGTGACAAGCCTGATTTGAAATGGCTCATTTAGCTACCTGCCCATTCACTGGACTTTTTTGCAAGTGATCACCAGCTCATTAAGGAAGTTATTCCCATCTGCATGAAGTGAAATGTCTCTCAGTTTATCCCTCATTCATGCTGAAATCTCACTTTAATTGGAAGAAATTCCATTTTTCAATCATGCTTCTTTTTGTGTCAGGGTGACCTACGTTCTGTGGGTACATCCACCCTTAGTGACAGCTTGTAGAGTACAGACACTGCAGGTCCAGCCAGCACAGGTCTAAGTAGTAGCGTAGACAGTGAGCCATACCTTAGGTGAGTAGAGTGCTCTGTACACCTGGACCTCCAGGGTATGTACTCTACGCAGTTCTCTACACGCCCAAGCAGTGCCACCTGCATCAACACTGCTGTTTTTAGCAATCCAGTGTCCTGCTGCCTCCCCGCTGCGTCACCCTTTCTCTGCCATAATGGAAGGCTCCGCCAGCAGGGAAAGGCTCTGTCGTGGGGGAGGCAGCGGGGAAAGGCTCCGGCAGCGCCTTGCTGCCGGAGCCTTTCCCTACGGCCAGAGCCTTTTGCTGCTGCATGTAGCTACATACAGAGTAACAAGTGTGGACGCAGCCTACCTGTCACTATGACGTATCGCTACACATGCAGTGCCTGTAGTCTACATTCTGCAGTAAGCATAGCATAGCCTATAAGTGCTGTAGGTAAATGTCTGTTACAGTGGCCTAGTTCATATTGGGGGCTCATGTTCTGTTTGCTAAACTGGTTGAGAACATTTGGTCAGACTTTGCCTCCACCTGGGCAAGAACAGTCTCCAAACTCATCTTAAACACGTGGTGATCATCAGCATCTCTAAAGCCGTCCTAGAAATAGAATAAAACTAGTTCTTTGGAGAGTTTAGCTACCAGTGTTGCTCTAAATCTAATCTGGTCTTGTTCTCTGAGCTGCAATGACAGCTGGCATTGGTGGGCTTGGAAGTGCTGAAGAGTTCAGAACGGACAGGACACTGGGCTACTTCTACACGGCCCATAATTCTGGACTTCTCCCTCTCACGACACACACTGGTACTTCTTTGGCATCCTTCAGGACAAGGCTTAAAACTGGGATCATGATTTTTGAGGATGGCCTTAATAAAGAGTCTATTTTTTGGTACAAATATTTGAACAGTTAGTTAATTGCAGCTGCAAATGTGCAGTGATACATGTAGTTTCCTGGTTTGACACCTACAATTAATTGCAGGTGCAGTTATTAGTTGACGTAAAATTGCATCAACTGCTTTTTTAAAGTTGGAGTCTTCCTGTTTTAATGTTGGTTGTGTATTTTCATGATCTTTTCTCTTGTTTGTAGCATAAGGAATGATATTGGATTTGTTGGAATTCTTTCTCTCTTGATCGAGCACTGTCATATTTAGTTTTATAAATATATTTTAGTTAACATCTTAAGAGGCTTTCGAATGGCAAGGAAAATGAAAATTATTAATCTTAAAACTCATATTGAAAAGCTTAGTTTTGATGCATGCTCCTCCATGCAGCTTCAGCCCCAGAGACCGGTACAATACATAATCGGGATATTGTAAAATCAACTTAATTAGCACGCACCACAGTGGAAACAAACATGCCAGTGAAGGGTTTGTCCTGCTTATCAGAGGAAATACTCAGTGATTTCATGAACTGTTTTAAAAATAAGCCTAGAATCATCCTTCCAGCCTGGACTGGGCAGAGACTTGCCTAAATGCGCTTGATGAGACATCTTTGGCTTATTAAGATGATCAAAAGACTGTGTAATGATTATGCCCACAATAAATATTAAAATCCCTGTAACTTTATAGGACTTTTATCTCGCCGCCCCCCCCCCCCACACACACCCCATTTTCACCCTCATCTCTCTAAGAATAAAAATGAAAAATATGTAATGCAAGACCAATATCTGCAGGATCCAGAAATGAAAGGGATAAAAGGGGTAGGGGTAATGTAGCTCTTAGTCGATAGATACAGCAGTGTGTCGTGTAGTATTTTGGCTGTGAAGAGCACTCTCCTATGTGAATGTAGTGCTTTCAGAAATAGTTATTTTATAAGATTTATGATGGAAATGACAACTGCAGGGGTATGCCCTGAGAATGTAAGTGAAAGTATTCTCAGATGCTGAAGGCAGTCATGAAAGGCTGTTTTTCATTGTGTTGACTGAAGGATTAATTAGACTGCACTGAATCACTACTGCTACAGTGTTAGAGTACAGCAGGAGTGTGTATGCGTGAATGGGCAAGCCACATTTCTAACTGGAACTGTTTTCTTACAAGGGTTGGTGTTACATCAACCATCCAGGCAAAAGCCCTGGCTCCTATTTTCAAACACTTTCCCAGAGAAGCTTCCTCCAGGGTGGATTGATTTAAATCACCAATTTCAGTGATGATTTAAATCAGAAAACAGTAAACTTGGATTGAAATAATACATTTTAATCTAGTTTTTTATTTGTACTTTTTAGTGATTTTTCTTAAAGAAAGGTTGATTCTCATTAGTTGGAAATTCTTAAAACATGTTGATTTTCAACTAAAATGTAGCCTAAATATGGCACCTCTTTTGCTAAAGTGCATATACTCTATCTGTACATATTTATTTAAGCAATTCTAAAGCTGAACATACAGTTTTACATTCTTTATGATAGAAAATGGTAAATGAGGCATTTCTTATTTACTAGGTGGTTAATTTTTTGCTCATGATTTGTGTCGAGCTGTATTTGGCTGGAATTTGGAATTCAGTTAAAATGCACAAAAACAGCATTTTCAAATTTTTATTAGTTAAATATAACTATCTTAAGTGTGCTGGGTACATAAGCAAGACAAAGTTTATCAAAACATGTTTTCCATTTAAAACTATCTGTAGTTGGTGTATTAAACTGATTGATTCTGGTCACCATGTCCTTCACAATTTTAGAACTAGTAGAGCTCATCCTCGCACATCTAATTTTTATTCGTAGATTGGTAGAGGAAAACAAGCTTTACTGCTTTTTCAACTCCCAGTCAGTTTCTCAACTTTGAACCAGTTATTGAACTGATCTAATTGAATAAACTGAAATGAAGACAATAGTCTCTCTGCACCTGCAGAGGAGACTACTGCTGTCAAAAGCTGGTTTAGCCCTTCAACAAACTCTGGCTACAGGTTCTTAGCAATGACTTATACCAGTTCAGTGGTATGACTGACTTGAAGATATTAACAGCAAAGGTGCTGCTTTAATATTATTTTTTAGTTTAATTTAAATTATTCAATAGATTATGGTAAGTTTATACTTTAATATGGGTTTTTAGAATTTGAAAATTTATTTTAAATAGCTTTATTTTAAAAAGAAAAAAATTTACTTCAAAATTTTAAAAATCTGATTTTTTTATTATTATTATTTATATTATCTATTTTATCCAACCTGCTTTCTCCTGGTTCTGATTTGATCAACACTGTTTCCTTCATCTAGTTTTGCATGTATGTGCATCTTTCTTCACTTTCAGGAAATTATTACATTGACCTGAGCAGCCAGAGTTAAACTAATTCCTTAATCATGTTTGGTTTTGCTAGTGGGGTGTAGTTACCTGAGACTCTTTTCCTGCCTCTAGTTCTTCTCAGTGTTTTTTGCCTTGTGCTCTGGAGAGCAGACTCTGCTGCTAATTTTTTATCATAGTTTTGGTTTTCTCCCTCCATGCATGAGCAGTGAAACAATAGAAGTAGCCTGAGTGAAAACAGGCAAAGGTGAATGTGGGGGTGTGCTGCTCTCTTGCCTTTGTGTATGTGTAATATACCATGTCTTTGATTAGAAGATGCCCTCAATTAGTAACTACCCGGTTAAGGAGTTGTACCTTTGTCATGCAAGTTGCAGGAAAAAGCAATCAGAAGTAGTAGAAGTGTTGTCTTCTAAGCAAAAATATATGTGTATTGTGAGTGTTCTTAAAAACTTGTTAGTGTCTGAATATATTTGCTTTAATCCTGAATATATGCAGACATTTGCAGTGAGGTATTCAGAGATGACTCTAGCTATCTAGGGCTGAGTTTTGTTGGAGTGTTTCCAGACAGTCTACGTACTGTGCTACACAGCGTACGTAACTATATGGCATGCTGCAGTATATGAATAGCAGGGAAACTGGTGTTAGAGTCCTTGGAAAGGAGGTCAGGCCAAGAGTTTGCCCTATGTTAAACTGGTATAATTTGTTGGGCAGCATCCTCCAAATCTTAAATATCTCACTTAAAAAATCCACACTACAGTCAGTGAGAAAATTAACCCCCAAAAAATTGCTCTTCTGATGGAACCTCCAGACTGTCAAGGACATCCAAGTTACCCAGCGAAGTATAACTCTGTTGGGATCGTTGACATTACAACCACTAACTCTGTAGAAAACAGGGAAGTACTAGATATGGTTGTGTTAATTTAATCTCTACTTAAAACAATGCAGCAAGAATTCAGTGCCCATAAAATGGGAAGAGACAACATTAGAAAAAAACTGTTCAGTTTCTAAGAGTTTAAAGACCGTGGCGAGTAACAATGTGAGATTTTCGAAGGGATGGGCTTTGACCCTTTAAATGGCATATTTAACTGCCAGCTAAATGTTCTTTGCTAGCAGGATTTGTGAGGAGCAGTAGCATCTTGTGGTCAGTACAAATACTCCAGATAGGTATTCCCCAGGGATAATTTTATATGGCTACACATTTTTTGTGCTCTAGTCCTTCCCCCATCATTGGAAATCTTTTTATTGTATGCAAGTACTAACCTTTCCCATCTACCCTACAACACGTTTTGTTCATGTGCCTTTATTATTCACAAGTACAAGATGTGATGTAGGGAGACGTTATTGACACTGAATATTAATATTGTTCTCCGGCACTGCATAGCGAACATATTAGCAAAGTGTATGTTTAAAGCTATTCTGGAGTTACATGATCTGCTTTCCTCCTTCTGGCCTCAGATGATTGGCTGGTGCTGGCAGCACGTTGGGATGCAGTGAAAGACGGGCAGTCTTTTCTTAGCTGGCATCTGTTTGCCTGCACACTGGTTTGAGACGACTTTGTTTTTCTAAGGGGCAAAGATACGAAGAAAGCTAAAAATGTTGGGAAGAAGGAAACCAGCTCTCCTTTTTCACAGTGTTACCAGCAAAATCCAGGCACACCTATGGTAGCTGCAAATTGACATTTTCATTCCCTCTCTTCTTTAGTCTGCTGCAAACCGCATCTTTTGTTGCTTCAGTAATGAAATATTCTCTTGCATCTTTGTCTTTCCAGCCCCCTCCTTTCAACAATTAGTTTTCCTCCATAGTCCTCCATTCCTGATTAAAAATACATGACACTGTCTCTGGCATGAAACATACAGCAGAATCGCAGCCACAGGGGGAGTTAAAAGCAAAGTCAGGTTTTCCACCCAAAATTGTCATTTTAGTGCTATGTATTCTTGTACTCTGACCTTAATATGTCATCCCTGGAGCCTGAGATATCATGCTAGCAAAAAGGGAACCCTGAGAAGAAGATCCTCAGTATTTGAATCCAGGCTGCCTGCTTCTCCTGTAATACTGTTCCTAGGATCCCTGATTTCTGCATATTGTGCTGGTGAGAAAGATGGTGGGGTTCATCTGCCAAGTATTTTTTGTCACATGTCCAGAGAGCACGTTACAACATGATAGTGTCCTGTCCAGACTGTGACATAGTTTGGTCTTGCCCATGTAGATGAGAGTAAATCATGTTACCAAACTGTGTTCCAGCCCCAGGTCAAGGATGGAATAGGCCAAGAAGAATGGACAGTCCCCCACCCCTCAGAGAACATCTCTCAATCAGAGTGGAAACTCATTGATACAGGTCACTGTAGGGGAAACATGCAGTGTGCTGAGTGGGAACTTCAGTCTCCAGGATTGTCAGTCCTTGCACCTTTCAGGAGCAGTGCCTTCATCTGAACAATATAGTTCCTTGTGGGCATTTATTCACAATTCCAAGCCACCAAACAGGATGTCATTATTAACAGACTTTGCTCCTTAGAAATACAGGATGGGAAAATCAGAGATTACTGGTTAAGATTTGGCGTGTTTGGGAAGAGATGTGTAGAGAGAGCTTGCAGAACATCTGCATGTGATATGTTTGCCAGTCAGGAACACTAAAAACAGACAGAAAACTAACACACCAGTCTGGGTAGGTAGGTTGTGAAGATGATGTGCTTTGAGATGATGAGCTGATCAATGTTTGGGAACCTCTAGGCATTTGTCCAGGACTTAGACTGGCCGTGCAGATGAAAATTTAGCTTTATGTGTAGGGGGTGATGCGTAGAAGTTACCAAAGCATCTGATCTGCAGAGAGAAATTCAGCTCTTGTTCTTCCCTGGCTGGGACAGCAGCCATCAGCAAACCAGGTGGAGAATTAGATAAGAGACTTTTGAAATATGTAATTTTATTTTGTTTTGGTTTTGTAAATGTCAGAAATCTGATTCGTCAAATTCCTCTTGTTTTCCCTTTAGTGGTTCGTAACTACCATGGTGAAGGTATGCCCTGGAACAAAGGGGGGTCGAATGCTGCCTCTCTCTCTAGGGTGCTCTGAAGAACCAGAGGGCAACTTTGCAGTTTGTAGTCCTTTCGGATGCCAACATGCAGTGGAACCATTTGCTTTAAATAACACAAGGCCCTGGTCACCTCTTCAGACCCAAGAGTGTTTGGCTGCAGTCCTGACAGGGAAATTTGCTCTTACTTTTGTTTCTCAAATGAAAATTGGGATTGAGAAAAATGATTAAGACATGAAATATTCATAAATCATTGGAGGCAACAAGAAGTTATCTCCAAGTTATTGTACTCATTGTTTTTCCTTCTCCCTGTCTCGTTTTTCAGTCATGCCAAGCCGACCTTGTGAAGGACAACGGTCACAAATATTTCCTTTCCGTCTTGGCAGATCCCTACATGCCAGTAAGGACAAATAGTCTTTTTCAGACTTATTTAAAACTTGCTTAGGTCTTCTTTGCTTTTATGCTGCTGTTATGATGTGGTTGGTGCTATTGGTGGGGACAGCGTCATGTCACTCCCGGGGACACCAACTGCCCTGTTGAGGAATGGCACGGATGGGCTGCCTAGTTAGCCACAGGGGAAATTGATAATATAGAGCCCCATCAGAAGCACTTACAGACCAAATAAGTTTGCAAAGCCAATTCGTTAAAAGGATTTAGACTTAGATTATTTTACCTTTCTTGATATTCATTTCATCTGCTCTGAAATGGGAACTGTGGGTGCTCTGATAAATGGACTGAAGTGCTATCTAATTTCATAGTACCTTCTGTAACTACCTTTACTGGTATTCTGTTTAGTATCATCCTACAACAGGATAGCCCTCTAGCAGTATACATTAGGGACTATTCCCCCCCACCCACCCCCAGTTTCTCTAGTGATAAAAGCACACAGCTGTCACAAACATGAACTAAATAGGGCACTGGCCTTTTCTGCACTAATGCTTTTTAAATCCTGAACGTAAATGAAAAATGCAATGGAATACAGACTAGTTCCCAGTCACTCAACCCAATGTAAAATATAATGGGATTGCTGCAAATTATTTCTTTTAAATGGTCTGTTTATTTCCCTTAAAAATGAAGCATGAAGTGGCCGTGTTGCCAGCTGATGACATAACCAAGTCAGGCATTTCAGAGCTGCAGCTAGACATGTGGGATAGCAGGTCATTTCTATCTTTTAAACTGTGAAAGTATGCTAGAAATCCTGGGGTCTCTGGCTGCCCTCCTTTCTACCTGTCAGGCTGTTTTCTGTTAGAATTCGGATTAAAATCACAGCCTCGCGATAGAGCCACAGCCAAGCAGGCCAGCCATGCGTCCTGTTCTCAGAGGAAGGAGGGAGGCAAGTTTCATGGCCTGTTCCAGCCACTTGTCATTAAGCAACTCCAGAACCCAATTGTAAGTTTTAGATTCTCGAATTGTCACCGTTTCAGGAGATTCACATCAAACAAGTCAAGAAGGCCAGGATGGTCTCTCTCCTTTCAAACAGTGCAGCTTACGCTTGTTCTCTGTCCTGTTTAAAGATAAAAATTAGTTGTGGGTTGTTTTGTTTTTAAGGCTGAACACAGGACTATGACTGCTTTCATTTTGGCTGTAATCGTCAACAGCTACAATACAGGGCAGGTGAGTCTCAACGTCTTGATCTTTACAGGCTTCTCCTGAGACCGTCTCTGTACTGTGACTTTGCTTTGACGTGTCACCAACTGACATGCATCAGCGCTTACTACAGAACTGGGAAGTTGCAGGGAGAGGGTGTGGGACCAGGCTACAGAGGGAGTATGTGCACAGCCCCTGGAAATACGGGTTAAGGACACACGTCGCTGAACAGCATCCTCTGTAGGCAGTACACTGACATATTATTAAAGGAATCCTGCATGGTTCTCGTCAGCCGCAAGCATGGTGGCCGTGATGTGGGTCTTGGGAAGGGGTTTAAAGCCAGGAAAGTGGTATGAGCCATAAATCATGGGGCTCTGACAGGTGCAAGGAGTATTGCCAATGAGGAAAAAAGCAAGTTTACTGCATTCAGGAAGCATTTGTGACATTAACAGTTGCTTGGCTGGCTGTAAGAGCACACAGCTGACCTCCCCAGACTCCTCCTAGAGCACTTGTGCAAAGCATCTCCAATAAAATTTTGCAACAAAACTAGTATCTAACCACGGAATAATTCTGTTCTCTACATTGCGTCTGTCCCCTCTCTCAAAATCATTTTGTTGTTTACTGGTGAGAGAGGAAGCTGCCTGTCTAAATTAATTGTACTGAACTATGTTTTAGGAAGCCTGCCTTCAAGGAAACTTGATTGCCATCTGCCTGGAGCAGTTAAATGATCCGCATCCTCTACTGCGCCAGTGGGTGGCGATTTGTTTAGGACGTATCTGGCAGAATTTTGACTCAGCAAGGTGGTGTGGCGTGAGAGACAGTGCCCACGAGAAGCTCTACAGTCTCCTCTCAGACCCCATCCCAGAGGTAATGTTTTAAGTGTAGACGTATATACCAGTGGGGCTGGAGCCGTTTTGAGTGAGGGCTACAAAACAATTTAAAAATCAAGATCTTCAAGAAATCTCATGAATTGATAGGTGTCTGGTTAAAAAAAATAGCTTTCCATTATTTCTGCAGGAAAGGTGCTTAAGCCATGCAAGATCTGGATCAGGAAAAGCAGAATAAATGCAAAGGATTATATAATCCATGACAGAGGGTTTTCAGTGTGATGACTTTAAATCCGGGGTTTATACAAGCTCCACGTTTGTTTGCTCACTCCTGTGTCAGAAGCCCTTCAAAACTGTGTTACCACAACTCACTGTATTTTGACAAGTTCTCTCTCCGTTTTGTCTAAATCTGAGAACTGTTCTCAGCCTGGTGGATGAAAAAATGCGATTTTAATGGAATGCGTGTTTCACCTTTATGAAAATACTGTCCGAGAAAGAAGAGAATCTTGTGCCAACTAACACTGTGATTGACAGACCCTATGAGACCCCAGTGAAATTATATTCCAGCTGGGAGAAGGAAGCTTGGAGATACAAGGCAATATCAATGGGCAGTTATTAAAGTTCAGCTTTTCTTCGTTTAGTGATTTAACACTTCCCGATCTGGGCACCCACAGCCTCCTTTCCTTTTTCCCAGGTTTTTCCCCACCTGCATGCAAAGAATCAGATGAAGTGTCCTCAAGGCCATCAGCTTATCTTGTCAATCAACCAGATCAGCTCCTTGCTGAGTTATGAGGCACATGCTCTGGAGGCTGATTATGCTGCCAAGGCAGAGAATCAAGGACCACACTTGATCCCAAACCCTGGGCCTGGGTGGGGTGTGACTGACCCTTTTTCCATTTTTAAGTCATCTACGCCCTTTCCATGTTTCCATATCAGATAGCTGAAGGCTTTAGAGATCTCTAGTGTAAAGGGGCCCTAGGGCCCCCAATGGCCATTCCTTAGTCACCTTTATGCTGTTAAGCAGAAGGTTCTTGACAGTGCCCATTGAAAAATCACCAAAGGGAAAAGCCACCTGACGTTCCAGGGAATAATGCACACTTCTGCACACATGAGTATTTAGAATTGCACCAGGATAAAACTTGGCAGTGCCCCTATATCTGTTTGTCTTTCTGGTCTTTGGGCTTCTGTCCAGCTGCTGCCATTTACCCAACACAGTAGCCTGGCTTTGGAGAGATCCGAGCTGGCAGAATAAAAGATTACGCTGGGAAGATCAAAGCCAGGACCAGGTAGGAAAGCAATGGTGATTTTTTAATTTTGTCTCTCACAGGTTCGCTGTGCTGCAGTCTTTGCACTGGGCACGTTTGTGGGCAACTCGGCTGAGCGGACCGATCACTCCACCACCATTGATCACAACGTGGCCATGATGCTGGCACAGCTCATCAACGACGGGAGCCCCGTGGTTAGAAAGGTACAGCAAGAGGGACATAAGGAAGCGAGGAGGATTAGTGCTGGTGGCCTTCACAATAATGCTAAGAAGGGTTAATTGTGTGTGTTGCTGGGGAAGCAGACTCTTTGTACAGTGGATTTCTTCCTAGGCATTCGTGGATTTGATTCATCTGGAAGCATTTGTTCAAGCTCTCTGTCCTTTTGCAGCTGGTATAGATGCCTACTTCTTGCCCAGGGACAACACACAAACATGGTTATCCTCAGTGAAAAGAGCACCGTAAAGGGATAGCTGCTGGCCAGGGCTGTAACCAGGGCTGGGTGAGCGGACAGCCGCCCAGGGCGCAAAGCCACGAGAGTGGAAAAATGATGAAAAAAAATTGTAGGGGGCCCAAAGATGCTTGCTTCCCTGGGCGCTAAAATGCCTAGTTACGGCTTTGCTACTTGCCCGGGGAATTTGTTTAGCCCAGAGGTGAGCAAACTACAGCCCGTAGGCCACATCCGGCCCGTGGGACCGTCCTGCCCGGCCCCCGAGCTCCTGGCCTGGGAGGCTAGCTCCCGGCCCCTCCCCTGCTGTCCCCCCGCAGCCTCAGCTCACTTGCTCTGCCACCGGCGCAATGCTCTGGGCGGCAGGGCTGTGAGCTCCTGGGGCAGCGCAGCTGCAGAGCCCAGCCTGACCCAATCTCTGTGCTGCGTGGTGGCAGTGGCAGCATGGCCTGACTCCAGCCGGGCAGTGCGGCTGTAGTGCCGCCAGTCACCGGTGCTCCAGGCAGTGTGGTAAGGGGGTAGGGAGCAGGGGGGGTTGCATCGAGGGCAGGGGAGTTCGGGGTGGTGGTCAGGGCGGGGGTGCGTATAGGGGGCGGGGTGGTTGGGGGGCAGTAGGTGGTTGAATGGGGGCAGGAGTTCCAGGGGGACAGTCAGGAAGGAGGGGGGGTTGGATGGGGCGGCAGGGGACAGTCAGGGGACAGGGAGTGGGGGTGTATGGATGGGGCAGAGGTTCCAGGGGGGCCATCAGGGAAAAGGGAGGGTTGGATTGGGCAGGAGTCCCGGGGTGGGAGCATATAGGAGGTGGGGGCCAGACCACGACCCCCTCCCCTAACCAGCCGTCCATACAATTTACGAAACCCAGTGCGACCCTCAGGCCAAAAAGTTTGCCCGCCCCTGGTTTAGCCTGTTGACTACTATGATTGCACGCTCAAAGCTGTAGAAATATGATAGTTTTGCAGAGTCGTTTTTCTGTAGTTGGCCTTTTAAGTGAGGAAGCACAGAGTTCCCCGTGGGTTTTAGGATCAGGTGGGGGAAGACCAAGAAATGGTCAAGTTGACCCACCAACAGTAAAATACACTTGTTGTTTAAAAACATCTGTCATTTTCTCTGTAAGCTTTTCACAGAGTAACTTTTAATGGGAGCGTGGGGCTTGGGGGGTTAGAATGGGAGAAGGTGAAAAATATGCAGCTGCCACCTTCTTTAGGAAACCCTGTGGGGCAGTGTTGTGATTGGCCATTGTTAGTGGAGCAGGAGTTTCGATCAGGAGTCATTTCAGCAGGCTGGTGTGCTTTCTCATCTGCATTGGAGTTGTCCCTTGGTTTTATAGCTCATACTCCAATCCCCCATGCGCACATGGCCTCAAAACCAAAATTGCCTGGGTCAGTTGGACTCGCCTCTCTCATTTGTAATGGAATCTTTGCATTGTGAAATTGATGACACAGTGTACTTGCTCTCTTGGTCCCAGATGACCTCTTCTCATTGGTTTTCCCTTGTTTTAATCTCTTGCCCTCAGAGAAACTGCTGAGAAGAGTTTCCTTTAGCATACGTGAGACTCTGGCAGCAAAAGCTGCTTCATCTACAAATGGATACCACCGTCCCAATGGAGTGGCATCGATTTCTCCAAATCTCTTAATTAAAAATTCCTTTAAATAATGGAGAGTTCAGTCTTCTGCTGACTATTTGTATTTCTCTCTCCTATCCCTGCTTGCACTGTTAAGAAACAAGCTACGAAAGGGTTATTGCCCAGATCCTAATGAGGAGCTTGGCTGCCCAATGGTTCCTGCAAATGGTTGTGTTACAGCTATTCGTGTGCTTCTGCTGGTGGTACGGACTCTCTCTGCGTCATGGGTTTCGGAATGCCAAGGCCTTTTGTGTTGATGATTTTCTGGTTTCATTTCCTGTGAGGTTTATGTAAATGTCAGTCTCCTCTTTGCTTTATGCTGCTGGCATGCAGAATATAGTTGAATCTCAGAGTTACAAACACCAGAGTTACAAACTGACCAGTCAACCACACACCTCATTTGGAATCAAAAGTACGCAATCAGGCAGCAGCCGAGACAAAAAAACAAAACAAAAAACAAATACAGTTCAGTACTGTGTTAAACTAAACTACTAAAAATATAAAGGGAAAGCAGCATTTTTCTTCTGCATAATAAAGTTTCAAAGCTGTATTAAGTCAATGTTCAGATGTAAACTTTTGAAAGAACAACCCTAACATTTTGTTCAGAGTTACGAACAACTTCCGTTGCCGAGGTGTTTGTAATTCTGAGGTGCCACTGTAAGGTTGTGCTGCTTTCCATAGTCTGCAGACAATAAAGTTAAACAGGCATGGAGAGCATGATTTGGAACACCGAGTAGCCACAGGGGTGCTGGCCATTGGCAGCTCACTAGATCATAGGCACACGCCTCTGGGAGCGCTTCAGCATTCGGCGTTCCAGGGCTGTCACAATGAAGCACTAACGCCGTTTGCCATCTGCCCTTAACGTCAGGAAATTCCATTTCCAATGCTCCGGCTCTGCGGCGTCTCAAGAATGGATTTTAATAGGCATGGCATTTCATTTGCTGTACAGCATGAGGAATCCCCTGGAAACAGAAATGTACATGGTACATAAACCATATTGTATAACATCATAACCAAATCATAAAAAAGGCCATATATTAAACCAGGCTAGTTCAGACCACAGTATATTTGCTGTTTAGCAATGCACCATGAGACCAGTTCACCTACCCCTTCCCTGAAGCCAATGCCTGAACCAGGAATAAATCTGTCAAAGGTTAGTGAACTCATTTGTATGCTGGCTCTTTGAGTTTGAAATCAATGCCGGAATGGGGGCAGGGAAAGAAGAGTATGCACTTTGGTGTCTTTATCCAGAATCCTGACTCTTGAGATTTCTGTCTGATTTTGTGACTTCCTCTAGAAACAAGAGCTGTGTTCTGTCCGGGTAATGCTCTGCTGTTTGTTACTGTTTTGATAGCAAAGTTTTACATTACAGGACTTTGGGTTTTAAATTAAATATTAAATATTAATTTGTTACTGGAAGCATAAAGTGTATGGCAGCCCTATGGGAGGAAGAAGGGAGGGGCTGTGAGTGCAGTGGAGAGAACATGACAGCTCCATTCAGTAAAGAGACCTTGTTGCTTTCAAAAACCACAAGGAGGAATAATATAGTCTGATTGAGAAGTAATTCCGTAGTCTCTTGAAGTTCACGTGTTCTGACCCTCCATTTTACAACAAAAGCAGGTTAACTGCTTGCTGGGCGTCCGGAATGTTCCAGGCAGAACCCACCTGCCAGACACTGCCAAATTGTTCCTGGCAGGTTTCACTTGCCAGCAGCTGCTCAATCATTCCAGACATATCCAAACTTCCTGTTTACTTAGCTGGAATATTAGTTGCACAACAGGGGCTGTGTGGAGCAAGCAATGAGAGGTTAATTCTGTGGCCTTATTCCACCAACATCTTATGCTTCGGTTTATTCATTGGTGTAACTATTTTTCAGTGTGCACAGTCTTTGGAATACGTAGCTCTCTCTTTTGGAGATTTAGGCTGCAAACTGGTGTATTGGCAAGAGACCACAACTCTCCAGCCAGTCAATTGGTCTTTCTGTCTGGTGTTTCTAAGGGTCCAACACCACAATACCTAAGAGAGGGTCTAAGTTTTGGTGTCCGCTTCCCCTCCTCCTCTCTAGGGCTCCCATGTTGCAGCCATTGAGCCAGAGAGAATTAAGCGGGGTCCCTTATCAGACCCGCAGCGTCACCCCTACATTAGCCAGCGTGGGTCCTAGTAGATTAATATAAGCCTTGTTTTCTCGCCTGCCAAGTTTCGGACTCAAGTTCCAATGTTCTTCATGGTGACAGCTCACCAATGGCCGTGGCAGCCTATTGGTGTCTCTCTAGCTGAGTTTAGAGTGAGGGTAGCACAGGCAGGCAGCAGGAATCCAGCTCCTTACAGCAAGTCACATGTTAACAAATAGTGGTTTGGCCTTTGCCACAAAGAGCGAGAGGCCTGCTCCTTCGCACACTCCAAGAAACATGTGCCTCTTGTAGGCAGGATGGCAGCGTGTACGTGAGAGGAGGGAGCTGTGTACAAGACTCCAGGTCTGTTCTTTCTGTGACAGTACATCAGTTTGACAATATCAGGCTGAATCAAAGAGTAGGGGAGCCTGGCCAGGAATAAAAGACCTTTTGTTATGAAGAATTCATTCTGAAACTAAGCGCTCTGGCTTTCTTCAGATCTTTGCACTGAAGTGAAGGAAAAATCAATGCTTCTCCAAACCAAGTATAAAAAAGTGCCCTCATCCCCACTCGAGGTGACAGATGGACATTAATTTTGTCAGAGAGCTGGCTTCACAGGAGCTTTATTCTGCCTTATTTTTAAATGATCAAAAGATGCTCACAGAAGAGAGGCTATTCCCCACCATGTTAGCTCAGAGTAGAGGAAATTTGCTAACTCTGCCATCTTTGCCATTGGTTTGTTGGGTTGGGTAGGGGGAGGGAGAGTTAAGAGGGGATTTTGTATATTCTTACTGCTGTAGAGAGAGATGTGCATGCTGGGTCTGTCAATAAGCCTCCTGTATCAGCATAGGTCAGGTTCTACACATCACTGTCCAGCAGTTCAGCAAGGCCACTCCATTCTTGTTAGCAGGCTGAGGACTGAAATATACAAGATTCCTGATTGTAAAAGCTTTACGAGAACAGATTCTTGTATAGCTCCATACCCTGCCTGTTTTTGAGATCTGAGCTACCTCAAAGGAAGTAAAGACCCTGAGTCTTGTTGGCGAATGACCTATCTGAGAAGCTGCGTTGTTTTGAGGGTTTTTTTCCTCCTTGTGGGAGCCTTTGATGTGGGGAGCAGGAAAATGTAAGCGGATCAGAAGAACAATCGAAAAACCCTGGATTTTATTTATTTCTTTGTATGCGGGCTTATTTGGGGTTTGTCAATCTAGCATTGCTTTAAATGTAAGATAATGCACTCTTCTGCTCAGAGTTCAGCATGGCTTTGCTCGAACAGCAAGCTCTCGCTAGAAGGATGCCATCTGCGTTACTTATAGGACTTTCTGATGCATTCGTCACCAGAGAAGATTAGCATCTCTGAAATACAGCGTCTGTCTACGCTGCAGTTCAAGCCCATGCCTGAGCCCTGGCTTGAGCCTAACCCTACTTGCACATACACTGCAATTGCTCGAACCCAGGGTCCCAGGACCCTGTGGGCTCAAGTTAAGCTGGGACTGAGGGTCTGAACCCTATTGCTTTGAGTGTAGACGTAGCCCCGCTTTATCCGGTCCCAGGAGTCAGCTGGAATTATTCCACAATTCCATGGGACAATTTCCTTAGTCCTCTCCATCCCAACAATCTGCAATCACTCTGTTGAAAACGGAAGGCACCCCAACTTTGCAAACGGCAGCAGCAGGTCCGCATTAACCCATTCTGTTCTGATCACCAATCTGCAAGCACACGGTCAGAGAGCCTCCTGGGTTTGCAGTGGAGACCAAACCAATCAAGCCTTTTGCAAAGCAAGCTGCTTCCCGGTAACATGCAGGGCAGGCAGGCAGGTTTTCCCACAGTGCCTCATGGTCCTAGAGCTAGAGCAGGGCAGGGGGTGGGAGACTTGGGTTATGGCTACTTTGACTTGGGTCTGCAAGCCCTAGGTTCGAGCACGGGTTAGAAGAGTCTTAACATAGGGTTAAAATACAATGTAGACACTCAAGCCTAGGGTTCCCTAACACAGGTCAGCTAACTCAAGTCCCACTAACCCTGGGCTTATGTGGCAGTGTAGACATACCCACAGAGGGACACAGAGCCATCCCCTTGCTTTTCATGGGAGAGGAGCATCTGAGTAGAGATTTGTGCCCTTCAAAAAGCATATTTTGTCCTCTGCAGTAGTTTCTATTGGAAAAGGCAGTTGTAGAATATGCTTTGGATGAACTAAGCAAGTTATAGCTGCCATGTCCTCCTTCCAGTGATAGTCCCTCTGTATATTCCCCATGTGGGTACACATGTGCGTGAGTCTGGAAATTCTTCAAAGCAACGTCCATTGGCCCGCACATGCGCCGTAGCTCTCCTGGTGCTCCCGACCGAGGATATAAGAGGAAGGGCGGGTCGACACCTCTCCAGTTCCTTCTTAGCAACGCATGGCCTGAGTCGGAATTGTATCCTCCTTCACTTGGTTGCATAACGTATACAAAAATGTTCCTCCCCGGGGGGTGTCACAGCTCACTCCACGTGAGCACAAGCTGCCTCCACGGCATACCTATCAGACGTTCTGCTGCAGGACATCAGCAGAGTGGCCCCCTGGAGTTCTATCCATACGTCAGCGACGTACTACGCTCTAGTTCATGTCTTGGCTGAGGATGCAGCAGTGGGATCAGCAGTATTGCAAGCGTCTTTGCAACCAGCTTCCTTGCACCCAACTCCAGGCTGAGCACTGCTTGCCAATGATCCACGTGTGGAATACACACAGGGACCATCCCTTGAAGAAGTGGAGGTTACTTACTCTAACTGGAGTTTCTTCAAATTGTGTGGTCCCTATCTGTATTCCACCACCCACCCCTCGTCCCCTCTGTGCCGGATCCTGTTGGATTTGTGGTAAGAAAGGCAACTAGAGAGGCGCCGACCCACACTGCCTCATACACCCTCAGTTGGGAGCACAAGGAGCACTGCTGCGCATGTATGGGCCAACAGACGCTGCTTTAAAGAATTTCCAGACTCGGGCATGTGGCACACGTGCATATCCGTATGTGGAATACTGATAGGGACCGCACAGCTGGAAGAACCTCTAGTTCAATAAGTAACCTCCTCTTTAATAAATTGCAGTTTGACAAACTATAGTAGAATTTGTACAAACTCTGGTGGTCTCATTGGCACTCCCCTGGTGCATGCAAGCCTAATTTACACTCGTGTCTTTGTTAAAAGCCCTTTTACTTTGGTTGAAGCACAGCACAGGAATTCTAAATCAGAGCTTGTTCCCTCTGACTCTTCTTTGAATTTTTGCTGAAGTTCTGTTCCAGGCAGACAATGGTCCATCTGACTGATGCACTTCATTTCTAATGGCAAATTCCTTGTCAGGCAGTAGTTTCTGCCTAAAGCAGGCTGTTTTTCCTGGCAGGAGAGAATCCCTACATTTTCAGCGAACCCTCTGCTTTGATTGTTGGGTATCCCTTCTTCTAGATTGTGAATTATTCTGGAATGGCCTATTGACAGGTTGTTCCCCCTCTTTCAGTGATGTCTGTTCCTTGCAGCCAGTTGTTTGTTTCTGACACACACAGTAATCAAAGGTCTGTTTCTCTCTGCTTTCTATCCCCAGGAGCTGGTGGTGGCTTTGAGTCACCTAGTGGTTCAGTATGAGAGCAATTTCTGCACTGTTGCCTTGCAATTTATGGAAGAAGAGAAGAATTATCCTCTGCCCTCTCCAGCTACCACAGGTACATCCTTTTGTCCGCTCATGGCCAGGGGCAGTTTTGATCCTTATAGAGCTTGGGAGCCTTAGCTGAGGAATTTGATTGCATGACCAACAGGCACCAGTTCTAGTGATGCTGTGGGCAACTCTCACACCTTTTTGGCACTGTAATGCATTTTACTGCAGAACTGCATCTCAGGGAGATTTCCCTCTGAAAAGACTTAGGCCTGGTCTACACTGGGGGGGGGAGGGGGAGTGAGATCGGTCTAAGGGTGATCTGCTCCTCGGTGCTTGATGTGCTGTTTTTTCCCATCCCTTTTTATTTTGCTTCATTTGAGGAACTGAAGGTTCTAGAGAAATTGTTGCTGGCCCTTCATTTTTTAGAAATTAAATAAATTGGAACTCACCAGGAATAACAGAACTGTTGCGACAGGAACTTGCAGAAGAGAAGATGAACTATTCCTGCAATGAGTAATTAATCACTTCTTCGTCTGAAGTGGTGAATCATATTAGAGAATTAGTTTCCCCCCATTTGTCCTTTTTGCTGCAGAAAATAATCATCCCTTATAGTTCCATAGCACTTTTCATCATCCAGAAGGATGCCAAAGTACTTTCTAAGTGGGATATTCAGGAAGCACGGCTCCCATCGCTGGGGTGGAATGGGACAGCTGTTCTGCAGCAGTAACATTACGTATGTGCTGTTAGGAATGGGAATGAAGCATGACTTTTCCAGCTGAAATTGCAGGTAGTCAGGGCATGAAGTGAAATTTGGCCAGGAAAACCAGGATTAAATAACCCTTTATTATGAAAAATGTTCCCAGATTGTTAATGAGCAGAAGCGATCAGCAATTCAGACTTAAGAATCTAGAAGATGTCCCCTCCCGCACCGTGTTTGGGCATTAGTTCGGTATTGGCTTGGAGGGAAGAATCACCAAAACCACCACCTGTAGCACCCTGTTTTTCTTATTGTCTTTCGTTCAGGGACTGACAAGGCTTGGCCCTGCTTAGCTTATGGAATATGTAAGGAGGACAGACCCAGAAACATGCAGTTATGGTCTTTGTCCTTTGTATGAGCAGAGAGGATTGGGGCAGGGGGAGTAAAGATACCAGCCCTTTATCATCATTTGCTCTTTGTTTAAGGACAGCTGACAGTGACTGAGCACCCTTCTTATCAGTAGTTGGTTTTAACTTGTTTTAATCATTTGCACTGATCACACTACATTGCTGTGGGAAGGCTGCTCCCCTTGTGATGGTGTGTACAATGGCTAAACTTTGTCCCCACAGAGTGTGGGAGTTTGACGCCAGTGCGAGATGGTCCGTGTACTCCGAGACTTCGTTCCGTCAGCTCCTATGGGAACATCCGAGCAGTCACCACGGCTAGGAACCTGAACAAGTCTCTGCAGAACCTCAGCTTAAATGAAGAATGTAAGATGGCTTTCAAGATTCTTTCATTTTTCCTTACCTTTTGTCTCACGTGAGACTTTTTTTTATTTTGTCCCTTTGCCAGTTCTTCCCTGCTATGAAATCTCATGTGGAAGCATCTCGAGCTGACTAAGTGTTCTCGCACGGTATCTAGCTGCCAGCCCCGAGGGAAGATATGGGCAACCCTTAACCCTAACAGGCTGAAATTCTCTGTTCAATAGTATTGACTTTATAAGCTACTGGAGACCAACCAGGGCACCTTCTGATGCACGTGGTTTTCACCAGCTTGAGTCACTACTGAAGCCTTGATGCTCACCCTCTAATTAAATATTCACTGTTCAGAAAGAGGGCTTGGTGGATTTGCTTTACCAGAGGAATTTCTCTTCACTTGTTGAATGTCACAGGGTTCTCAATCAGCTGATGCTTGAGCAAAAATTGTTTTTTTGGTAGTATTTGTGTTTCAGTGTCATCCCACTTCCCTTTTGGCAGCTGGAAGCTGTGTTGCGTTTTCTCCTGGGAATCTCAGCACCAGCAGCAGTGCTAGCAGCACCTTGGGCAGCCCTGAGAATGAAGAGTATATCCTGTCATTTGAGACCATCGACAAGATGAGAAGAGTTAGCTCCTACTCCTCGTTGAATTCACTGATTGGTGAGTTGGGCTCTTCCACCTTCCTCTGGTATTTCCTGCTTTCTTTACCCTCCTCTGATTTTGGCTCTAGATAGGTCTCATTGTAACAGCAAGGGTTATCCTTATGGGTACATGCCATCATGCTATCTGAGTGCGGTTGTATGATGAAATGAGAAAGAGAGTTAACCTGAAGATCTTGGGAGGTAGGGCAGGGAATGGGATGTAGCAATGACATAGCCGCATTTCTGTGGTCATAACCCTATCTTGTGTTACAGAGGGTAGGATTCCTGCTAAGAACCTGAGCATGAAAAGGGTAGCATCTACTGGAATCTTACAGCCCCTGCAGCTTCATGGGCTAGGAAATGGATAGGAAGGCCCTTCATTCCATCGCCCTGATAGCTGGGCTCAATGGCATGGACTTCTACCCTCAGTTGCTTTTCATGTAAGCTGGGTTTAGTCTGCTACATAGCACAGTCTTCAAACCTTGTTAGTCACTGAGGAAGCCTTACCCAATTGATTTTTCATCTATGTGCATTATTAAATGGCAGGTGAGAAGGAAGAAACCCTGGCTTTGTCCTAATTAGTTGGCAAGGCAGCTCGGCATTTCACAAAATGAGCTCTGAGCAGAGAGTATCATAGGTGATCACTTCACATCCATTACCGCCCCAACTACATCCTCCTGGAGAAAGTGGGAGAACGCCAGCTGCAGCATCTGGTGATCTGCAGAGCACCAAAGCTAAACAGTCCTGTTCTGCCCTGGAGCCTCAGCCCTCTTGGTAATATACCGAATGCTGCAGAGTTGAGATGTTGGTGCCTATAGCGAAGGAGGAAGGGAAATGGACTTGCATTTCCACCGCACATGGTTGATTTGCATGTTGGATGTAGTCTGGCATTTCTTGTATAGAACTGAACTGGAAGTTCTGCACTAAACAAGTTCATTTCTTTGATTATTTTTCTGATGGCTTTTTTAGGCATGTCCGATAGCTGATCTTCTTTTCAAACTGGTGTGGTAAGAGCACAGCCAGCTAACATGCAAGGGTCCCAGCGTGTGGAACAGACGCTTGCTCTATGGGCTGGAGAAAGTGCACATCAGAGAAATGATGGGGGAGGCTCATAACCTTCCATTATGGTCAGTTGTGTGGGCCCACGATCTTCTCCTAGCTTTAAAAAATCCCTATCTACCATTGTCATATGGAGGAGTAATAACCTGTAGCAAACTGGTGAATGAAAACCCTACACACCACACTCCAGTACTAGAAATATTCTGGGATCCTGCTACCAGACAGATCAGTTGGCATCTATTGTAGAACATTAACGAATGACTGGAGGTTCCCTAGGCCCTTGAGACAGTTTAAAATGAATTTTGTCCCATCCTAATAAAGTGTCGTTAGACTTTTGAACAATCCAGTCACATGACGTAACAGGTAATGACCCTGGTCTGTGCACAACAGGATCACTACAATGCTGCTATCCCTGTGGCAGGTTAAAACCTTAGCTCCCTTCCCTTGCCTCCTCTCTGACCTGGATTCTCCTGCCTATCCTTCCACTGGAAATAGCTGCGGCCTGCTTGATGGTTTGTTTGTGTCTCAGAAGAGCTTTACAGCACAGTTGAGAAAGAGTCTAGAAATGAGCTGGAGATGAGCGAGGGAAACTTAAGAAAACAAAAAGCGGCACTCCAAAGCCTCCCTCATTCATATTCAATCAGGAAGAGCTCATATCCAGCTGTAAACGACATAGCTTATAGAAGTGTTTAAAATTCATAACTTACACGGAATCCCATTACCTTCAGCATTTGCCTGTTTAAAGCTGGAGTTTTTTTCATTTCTGCTAAAGAATTGCAGTCTCCCAACCTGCTCTGTGCTAGGTCCCAAGGGAAAGATTTTTTTCAGAATTTCATCAATTCTGCCCACCGTGTTCGGGCAACCCATTGCCAGGCAGCAGGCCAGGGGTTGAGTTGACCCTGTAGTGTCCCTCCTTGAACTGACAAGGCCAGCTGGGATGATTGTTAATTCAGATGGAATGTTTGGGCCCAAGAGTCAAAGGGGTTAACATGACCCCGTCACTGTCCAGTATTAAATAGGGTTAAACAAGGTTCAGGGGTTGGTATACAAAGACCTGAGCCTGCTGAGTACCATGGCGAACACATTATTAAAAATCCATTTAACCTTTTATTAAAGATTCAGAAAAGAAGAAAAACAGAGAAATTGAAATATAGAGTACGAAGTAAGCCTTTCACTTTGCCAACATTCCTTGTTCCCTTTCCCTTTAAATTTAGAGTCTCTAAAGGAAAAAGCCCCTTGTTTGATACTCCCTTAGTAGGTATTAAACATGGTAATAACTGTCTTTTGGGGGAAAGGAGAAGTTAGTTGAGATGGGCAGAAGCTGGTCATGTTGCTAATGTTCCTAGAAGACAGCACAAGACAAAAATACGAAAGAGGGAAGAGAAAAGAACAGCAAAGACAGAAAATCTGTCTCTTGTGTTGATTTTGCCTTGCAGCCTCACTGCTGGAGAAACACAGGCATGGCAGATGCTCTTATTAGCCATTCCAAGCCCTGGCAAACTTGTACCAGTGTCGAGCTGTTCAGGGCATTGCTTTTATCTGCCTCTCTGGACATAGACTTACAGCAGTGTTGTAGCCTTGGCCAGCTAACCCAGACACTTACTAAACAGAAGGCAAAAGGAGAGGGATAGGAACGAAAACAAATAAGGTGGGGAAGGAAGAGAACACACACAGTGGGTGTGTGTGACAATGTCTCTTAACCCAGGTGATAGTCAGGATTTAGTCGGAGCCAGTGGAGATGACAGTGTCATCTGAGACCCTCTCTCTGGCCTGGTCTTATATGGACTTCATTCAGGACCAGGATGAAGAAGGTTCAGGGTCCCAGGAGATGGTGGGGGTGACCGCCATGATGGAGAAATTTGCACCCCCCTTCCTCCTCTCTCATCTTTGTCAGCTAGCATTTGCATCTGTTCGTCTGTATTTTTTCCCCAAAAGTCTTTTTTATGGACCCCAAAAAGGATAGATGGGTGGAATAGCCCATCCCCTCATTATTTTGTTCACTAACTAGGGCTAATTTCTGATACACCAGTTTTAGTCCATTAATTTCTGATCTCACACTTCTCTTGTTTACTAGGCATGATCTTAACACAGTCCTTGAGTTAAATTAGTAGACCTTTTCATTTAGATTAATTCAGTCTTTGTCTCTCTTTTCTCCCTTTTCCCATCAACGTTTGCTGTTTGAGGTTATTATGACACTTTAGAAACTTTCACTCACTTCTCACAGTTGAGTTTACAATGCGGGTCACTTTGTAGGCCCAGTTATTACAACATCACCATCCTCTTTCTTTTTTGAGCCCCCTTTAAAGGCAGCCAATTGTGTCCATCTTCCTTCTGGGTTATTTCCTTAAATCCTTAATCTGCAACAAAGGATGGACACCATGTGCAGCTCAGAGGGGTGGGTATAAACTAAGGAAGAACCTTGCTTGGCATCTGCCCTGTCTGAGGAATCACCTGGCATTGCTCTTCAGTGCCTGCCCCTCTGGCTGGTGGGAGGAGCAATGGGGACTTGTTTTATAGCTGTGGCCATGCCAGGTGTTCGAGAAAGGGGAAGAAATGAAAAAGAATTTTTTGGAGGAACGGGTCAAATCCATTTTAAAAAACCCGCAGCCCCTAATGTTAAGAAATACAGATCATTCTTGCCTAAAGTTTAACTTTCTGTCCTCTACATTCTTCAGACACACATCCAGCTCTGATTCATTAGCATTCAGGGGCTTCTTTCTCAATTGCAGTATGTTTTATTAAAGAGTCCTCATTCGCACCCCGTGCCATTTTGCTACAAGGTGCTTGGCATTGAAATTTTCCTCTTCTTTTGCTTCAAATATCTCTGAGGGGCAATCCAGGAAAGAGGAGCGAGTCTTTGAGCTGTGTGTGTACAGTTCACAAGATTACCTGGGTTCTGGCAGGTGACTGTCCCTTGGGTAGTTTTGGGCAGAAGAGTCATCTGTTTCTGGCCTTCCATTGCCCTTAAGCTGGCAGCAGGAAGAATTTTTGGTTACAACAGCTGGTTTGGGGCGGAGGCTAAACCTATTGCAGCCCTTTCCACAGCCAGATCCTCCAGCCATTAATCTGCCTCTTTAAATAGAAAAGGGGAGAAATTAGACATTGGCTTTGGGTGCCATGAGACTGATAACTTTTTTTTCCTACCCAAATGCTATGATTAAAGCCCCTCATTAGCTGTGTCTCATGGTGAAGTGGAGATCATTGCTTGAAAGATAATGCCAAACACATTCATCAAAGAGGAAAGGAGAAACTTGGAGCCATAAAATGCTGGAGATGGAGTTCGTTTTCCAGTAGGAGAGTTATAAGATTTAATTTGGATGTGGAGGGGAGACTATGCCATGTCATTCAGAACCCCTCCTAGAGCAACAGTTACAGTCAGAGGTGATTGTGATCAGGCTGAGAGGGGAAGAGGGGAGGCAGACCATAGGCAAATGGGAGAGTGAGGGGACAGAGTGGGGTAGATTTGGGGAGTGAGAGCACTGACAATGGACTTAAATTTGCAATTAGACAATTGATTTAAAATCTTGTAAGTGCATCTTTACAGTGATGAGTAATTAGCTGACAGCAATGACCATATTGTTAGTAAGTATAAAATAGTAAACTAAGATATTGACTATATTCTATGAAAACTAAATGCCACTCATAGGCTTAAGCACTATTGCACTTGTTTATGCAATAAATATGCTGTAGTGTGTTCCATAGCATGCCATACGCTACGTAAAGAATATGGAAAAGCCTGGTGAGATGGGCTGGTGGGGAATGCCAGCACACAGGTGTAAGTGAGGAACTAGTGGGACAGTGGGGAATGCCAGGACGGGTGGGGAATGCTGGAATGCCTGGGAGTAGAGCAGCACATTTTTTTTTCTAGCTGTTGAAACTGAGTTGTCTTGGCCACAACCATGCACCCAATTGAATGTGTAAGGGAGACGGGGAGTGGGTTAGTGGTGGTGGATTCTGAAGGTCCCTTTGAACACTGTGCTCATAACTACCTTGATCCTGAGGGCACGCACCTTTTTCCTCAAGTCTCCTCTGGGATTAGCGAAGCATCAGAAAGCCCGTGCTCTGCTGTGTGGGTCGCTCTTGGGGAGGAACTTTAAATTAGCTTTCCCTCTGGTGCAGACTGCACTGCATAGAGCAGTGGGGAAAACCTGGGCTTGGCAGCCGTCCTGAGCCACCTCTCCCCTACGTCACTGGGACTAGCCCATTGAGCGTTTTTCTGCATTGCCGTGTCTTTTGGGAAGGCGTTTATAATCGATTCTATCACCAGCTTCATCTTAGAGCGGCTTTAGCCTTGGGAACTACTGCTCCTCTGCCCTCTCCGAGTAGGAGCACAGCATTCAGAGGGTCCAGAGAGGCTGGAATGGGGAGGTATCCTCAGGATACCCTAGGTATAAGGTTAGGATTCGGTCATGGGTATTTTTAGTAAAAGTCAGGGACAGGTCACAGGCAATAAACAAACATTCACGGAAGCTCACAACCTGTGCCTGACTTTTACTAAAAATACTCTGGGGGTGGCAGGACAGACAGAGTGCTGCCGGGGCTTGCAGCTGCTCCAGCCCCCTGCTGCTCCTGCAGTAGGGGCTTACCACTGACCCAACCCCAGCCGCTGCTCCGGTGGCCAGGGACCGCTGCCCTGGCGGGCCCTACGGCTGGCCGCCGGTCAGCTGTTTGGTGGCTCTGGGGCTGGCTGCCGGTCAGCCATTCCAGCAGCTGCTGCTCCAGCCCTGCCCCAGAAGAAGTCCTGGAGGTCCCGGAAAGTCATGGAATCCGTGACTTCTGTGACAGACTCGTAGCCTTACCTATGAATAGACCAAGGGTTCCGCCTATAAGCTGTGTGATCTCTGCAAGAAATGTTAATTCTCCAACTGCTGTCAGGCAGTATTTTGTCCCTAAGGAGTTGGGCTGCCACTCACACCTACTGAAGTAGAGTTCACAGAGCCATCAGAATTTTAGATCTTTTCTCTATCCGAATCTAGGTCTCACAGGATCTTATGTTTTACTCATGGGAAGAGAAGAGGGAGGTGGGGGATAAATTACAATGCAGAGGTGGGATGAACAGTGATGAGAATTATGTATCAGAATCCTCATATACCCCACACTGTTCAGTCTGAAATAGTTCAGCTACATGTGTCAGTCCAAAACTTGTTTTTCACTTCAGGCAGAACATGCAAAAACAAATCAGAGCTGTTGTCTCCAATCGAAAATGCACAGATGCTGAGGTTTTGGTCAATTTGTGGGGTGTGGACTGCATCTCATTTTGGAGCTCCAGGTTTAGAATCACTGCAGTATTTAAAAGAGGCAAAAAACCTGATAAAGCCAAACCAAGGGAAGAGATTAAATAAAGACACTGAGGTTTTAATTTGTGTGTGCTGCACAGCTGTGCCCTTGCTGGACTCGGGTTGCAAGGTTGAAGATCTAAACCAATTGTGCTGCCCTGATGTTTGCTGTTAAATTGAATGAAGAGTTATGCACACCCGTACAAAACCAAAACAATCAGTGAAGAAAGGCAATTTCTTTTGACGTTCGTAGCTGAAAGGAATTGTTGTGTAAATCTGTACTGCAAGGTCTATTTAACCAGTGTTGAATCAGTCCAACTAATTACAGAGCTGTCGTTTTAAATTAACTCTCCCCACTTGCCTAGTGCTTTGTCTGTGTCGCGTGGATTTTTTTTCTAGTAGTCCATTATGTGAAATGAAACCACTGTTCCCTCCTGCTGTCCGTATCTCCTTTCATTATCACACTGACTCAGGTGGGTCAGGTTTAACAAGGAGCTGTCACATGCATCATTCAGCTGAATCCATTCGATGAGCAACACTTTTGTTAGGAAAAAAATAATAATACTGTAGTGAGGGAAGGGAACACACCTCCAAGCACTATCTCTAATGAGTCTAAAAAGCCTTTATAGAAATTCCCTCTGTTCTTTTCAGAAGCTGTTGAGCGAATGAGGAATTGCATTGGTGAAGTCCTCCCCCTCCCCTCCCTCCGCCCCCAACGCTTAGATATTTAAAAAATATCTTGGGGGGGTTTTCTTCCTGCTTGCGTCATGAGTGAGGGCGTTATCAGAGGGGCTGGAAATACTGAAAACTAGATTCCCCTCCTGCTCCCACCTTCTTCTTTCCCCTCCACCGCCCCGCTTGCTCTTTCTTTAAAAGAAACCAACCCCTTTAGATTCCCAGCAGCCCTTATGTAACTTCCAGTACAGACCCAAACGCATTGGAGGCAGAAAGCTGAGCAGGCTTCAGGGAGCCTTTGCAGCAGTGTTACCTGACTGGCTGCGTCAGTGAATGGTACACTTTCCCCCCAGGCTTTTATCACCTTGTCTGTCTTGTTTGAGTTGTTTTCAAGGTGAATTTGGTGCTTGTGAAAACTCAGTCTAACAACAGTGGCCTGTAGCCTGGCAAACACAGACAGGCACTGTGCCATCTTCTTCTGATTATCTTTGGGATTGCAGTCCTGGCCTTCTCCGGAGCAGAGACTTGCTTTGTTTTCTGATGATTTTTCTTTACTTTAAATATGAATAAACAACTTCTAAGGAGGGGGATACATTTTCCCTTATGGCCAAAGCCAGAATTTGAACCTAGATGTGTAGAAGTGGAAGACATGCTACATTCTTCCCTGTCACCAAGCAGAGCCACCTAGCCCTTATTCCCCTAAACTTACACCCAGTGTATCTGTGTGTTGCCTGGTTTTTAACACTTTTGGTTATGGCCTCTGCAAACATAGAGACAAAATGGAGCATGAACCTTTTTGGAGTCTGGCTCATCTTGCACCTGCCATTATATCATGAAGGGCAAATTTGACATTGTTGCATGTTTGTGTAGCCCCAAATTGTTTCCAGGATCGGTGAGGATCCTGTGTGAACCCTATGTATTGGAAGAGTGAGGAAAGCTTGTGACAGTCTGAACAACTGCATGGCCAGCATGTTACTGTTCAAAGGGTGTTGTCAACAGTGTAGAGCCGAGAGATCTGCATACGCAGCTCTTGGTAGTGCTAATAGACATCACTCTGCTAAATCCCTTGGGCTCTAGTGGGATGAGAGGCACTTTAATTTGCAGGTTGTATGAGGCCATGGAAGTTACTCGCTGCCTTGCAGTTTGCAGAATGTCCTGTCACATCATGGTGAATTTTTCTGGCCAAAGGAAGATTCCCTTGTAACCTAGAGAAGCATATGGGAAAGAGTGCGGGCTGTGCACTGCTCGAGCTTGTAACTGCATTCAGCTTCCATTGTGGGCCCGAGGTCAAAACTGAACTGTCAGCATCTGTTTTCTCTTGGCCTGAGTGCAGGTACAGAAGCTCTCCACGGTGAGTGCTTGCTTGTCAACCAAGGGACTGCAGCTTCCTAACGTAATGCTTTATATTTAGATGCCCCGGGAAGCACACGGGGAAATGAGACCGCTTTCCACATCATTTACAATTCACTGTGACTCATCTGAAAATCCTATTTTAGTTCCCTTTTGTCACTATAGCACCTACCTTATACCTCTCAAATGGCTCTGCTCCCAAGATCGGTGTTATAACCATAGTACATGGCAAATGGTGTAGGAGGTGTAAAAGAAATTGCTAATGTGCCTAAAACCAGTCAAATAAAATGTTCACCGGAGCCTTCTCAATCATACAAACTCTTATTTATTTGATGTGTAAAGTGCTTTTATCACTCCCTCCCAGTGCATGTACTAAACAGCAGACATTCAGTGATCAAGTTGGTAATTAATAAATTGACTTAATTGCAGTTTGAAGGATTAACTCAACCTTCCACCCTGTAAAATGAATCATAGGACTGGAAGGGACCTCGAGAGGTCATCTAGTCCAGTCCCCTGCACTCATGGCAGGACTAAGCATTATCTAGACCGTCCCTGACAGGTGTTTGTCTAACCTGCTCTTAAAAATCCCCAGTGATGGCGATTCCACAACCTCCCTAGGCAATTTATGCCAGTGCTTAATCACCCTGACAGTTAGGAAGTTAATAAAGAGCCCTGATACCTCATTATTAGCATTTAGATGTTAAATACACCTGTGGGATGTATAAAGTTCTGAACGTACCAGCTGCGTAGCTAACCTTTAATAGGGCAAAAGGATTTTAATAAATGTATCTGTTCAGAGAGACTCCAGACTTCTTACCCATTGAGTAGACTTAGGACAAGATGGTCAAGTGACTTGCTCCAAGGGACTAGAAATTAAGTATTTTGGATGCTAATTCCGGGCAGATATTCTGTCTGTGTGTCTGTAACCCTTGCAGACTTCCCAAAGGGATCACACAGTGGGAGTTTTCTTCTATTTCTTGGACTGTGTTTGAGTGCTTACCTTGATCTTTTCTAACCGCCATTGTAAAGTTCAACAGCAGCTCTTATCTTGGGAGGAAATTAGTCCACATTAGAGGCCTGGGGGTGACTGCAGCTTTCTGATTTTTGTGTGCTCTCCCTGTTTTTCTGTCCTAGGAGTTTCTTTCAATAGTGTTTACACCCAAATTTGGAGAGTCCTTCTACATCTGGCTGCTGACCCCTACCCTGATGTCTCAGATGTGGCCATGAAAGTACTCAACAGCATTGCCTACAAGGTATGACTGCCAGTCTTCATGTATCTCTAAGCTTTTATGTTTTGAGGGTTTTTTCATACTCAGGCAAAGTGTGGGTAGACGGAATCTGCATATACCCAGTTGGAAGGCTATGGGAAGCGATCGTTGCTCTGTCTGAGCCAGGACAGTACTGGTAGAGAAGGAACTTTAACATTCCAAAACTAAAACACTCAGACAAGCTCCAAGCCAAATGAAAAAGACTATGTGGGGGAGAGGCTGGAATTTTTTCAGAGATGCCTTTGTTAGCTAGGGGCCTTAAAAACTGAGTTTTGCTTACTTGCCTAGCGAGTAGATCAAAACCTGGGTGATGTCGTACAGATACTTCAGTAAATTATCCCTTTGCAAACTGATCTAGATTATGCAAGTGGGACTGGCCTGCAGACTGAAGCCACAACGGCTCTCCAACCCAGGTGAACTAGTACATGTGAGTCTGCATGCGGACACCCTTCCCGCTCCTCATCTCTTCAATACTGGCCTTAATCACCATGCTCACCACATTTCATCCTGCGAGGATGATGAGAAATCCCTGGAGACTGTTGTCACTGGTACTCCTGAATTGCCAGCATAGGGAGCTGTAATAGCAACCCTCACCTTCCACCAGAAACCAAGCACCTGGCCACTTCAGTACTTCTAATCACCAACAGTCCCCACTGGATTGCGCTGGGACGCCATTTAGACACACTCCTCCCCCCACATTGGGATTCCACCTTCACAGTTGCTCCAGCATTAAGACCATGAGCTATTCGAAAGCAAGATGGTGTCTCTTACTGATTTCTGAGGACTAACCCCATCACTTAGACTTGAGCTCCTGGGTTAGCATGGCTGTAAGAGATGTCAGCAGCAGCATCCACTATTCAGTGTTAGAGACCTCCTGCTTTAAATCTGTTTTTCCCTTAAGAAGATAATTCTTAATATAAACCCTTTGTTACTTGTTTTGAATACACACATGGGTCAGCCTGCAGACTTCAAGTCTGCGCGCTGTGGTTTTTTGGATATTGAATAACTTCACCTGTTAGGTGGTGAACTGAGATCTCCCGTTGGTGACTTAGACACCAGATAAATCTGTGCATCAGATTGGCAAATCTCAAATTCAGAGAAGTGATGAGGGGGAGAAATTAAAGCTTTCAGACTCCCCTTTCTGGACCACATCATGGTAATTATTAGACTCTTTGCAAAATGAAGCTCTAGTTCTGCTAGAATTATAGGATTGGCATGGCCATACTGAAGATCTAGGTTCTCCTTTTCCTGTCTTCCCTATTTTTCTGGGGCTTACTCCCTTGCTATAAAAAGAGCTCCATGAGCACTACCAGAGAGGTGGTTGTGTCCTCTAAACATCTTCACTAGCGCAGTACAATGCTGCTTAGCCAGCAGGAGCCATGCAATTTTGAACATTATGGTGTCCGGGTGGGCAATGAATGTTGTGCCAGGACTGGTAAATTTTCATGGTAATTTTTTACGGCTCTGTCAAGTGCCACAGGGCTTAGGTCCAAGTTCCTGTTTCTCTGGAGGCCACAATTAATTCTGTATTTTGGGGGTTGCTATCCTAGTTTGCTAACTGGTCCCCTATCTTCTGTCTGGCAGTATGCCTAGGACCCCAAATCCCAGGCATCTTCCGAGGGTAGGAAGCTGCAGTAAGGGCCAAAGGCAATTGGAAAAACCCTCTCGTGTCCATGAAAGCAGCCCAAGTTTCACTGGGCATCAGCGTGTGCACAGCTGATTGAGAAGTGGAGAGCTGCTGCTCAGGAGGGAGGGCGAAGGAGGGTGGGGATTCACCGGTTTGTGGAATGGAATGGCTGTCCACTGAGGATTTCGGCAGCTTGAGTGCACAGACCTCTTACATCTCATGCTCCACTTCCCCGGCGACTGCTCTATGGCCCTTGTGCTGTCTCAGAGGCAGTGATGTTTCAGATGGTTTTACACCCTAAATAATTGAAGCATTTGTCTTTGCAAGGATTTTTCAGCTGCAGATACTTGACCTTTTGCCAAGTTTCTCTCTCCCCTTCCTTAGCCATAAAGTTGAGGAAGCGCCAGTGTATGTAATTTGTCCAGGCACAGATGACAGTGCTTCAGGCAGCCACCTGGGCAGAGGGAGTTTGGTTCTTAGTGCCTCATGATACTGTGGGTCTCCTTCCACCCCCACTTCTCTCAATGCCAAATGGTCTCTCTGGTTCCTAAAAAGGAACTTAGCTTATAGGGTCTTATTAAAAACCCATCTAAATGGAGAGTTAAGGCTGCGAATCCCTGGTCAGCTCTGGCCCTAACTCATTTCATTGTGCCTATAAATCCCACCAATGAGGACTCCTGCCAGGATTACAGCCTTAACTTCACAGGTCCCCACTCGTGTGAGCTGAGGCAGATCCTGGAGGCCCTGACGTTATTTAAATGGAGTTCTTGCCATTGAATTTCCGTTTTAGGTTAATTTTGAGTTTGCACCTTTTAGGTTTTTTTAATGTATTTTCTTAAACACCCAGCAGTGACTAGAGGTGAGCTGGATAATACCCGGTGAACTCACTGTGCCCTTGAAAATGTCTTGACATTCAGCTCAGAGAAGATTGTCTGGAGACAATCACCACCACCACAGGCCCACACTTTCTCTCTTCTCTTCCATGGAGCCACAGCAGTCCTGGGAGTTTAGGCTTATTTGTCAGAATCCTTAATGTGCCGATCAGACTTTGGATGAGCAAAAATGGGCTCCTTTCGAATACTGGATTGCCACCGGTCCATTGTTCTTCTTGAGCCGGACTGTACAGTACAGATGCTAGACATTCATTTCACTGTTGGAAGGCACTTTCATAGCACTGTGATTGGCACGGGATATGAACCTGCAGAGAATGAATGCTGTACATGGAGACGTAGGGAGGCATAGTCCATTGGGTGAATGTGGGAGTCACAGGCATGTTAAAGCCACACTCGAAGTCTCAGACTAGGAGACTGCAGCGACAGTATTTTAAATCAGAATAATTTTGCTAAATTGGATTTTTAAAAAGCATTGAAATACACAGTGTTGTCTCTGGGGCTGATTAGGCATTGCTAGGACTCATGTTGGGTTGGTTTTAGCCTAGCAATTGAATTTAAAAAATAAATTGGAATTAAAGAACTTTCCTTCCAAACTCCAACTCCGAAAACCCCAAACTTGTTTTCTGGTGTCTCTGTTGAATTGAAAGAATGAGATCCCAGCGAGTGACACTGGCCCTTGAAGACTCTGATCATGATTAATTAACGAAGCTCCTTCCCAGGTTGCTTCATCCAGCTATTTCCAGTGGAAGTTCTGAGGCTCACTCACCTTGATAGTTACTCCTGTGTAACATGCCCTCCTCGTCAGGCACTGCCGTGCATGAACACGCAGCTCGCTCTCTTTATCTGACATTGTTCTTCAGAGTTACCATCTCCCCCCCTTCTACCCCCCCCAAAAAAGGATGTGATGTGAATACTACAAGAACAAACCTCCAAAAGAGGGGGTAGGAGAACAGCTGCCTCAAGTGGGTTATTTCAAGCTGTCTCTTTGTATCACTAAACCATGGCCCTGAAATGGCAGGACTTGGTCACTACTTTAGCAAAGAGGAATTTCTGTTCCCCTTTAAGAAAAGGGAGGGTCCTTTGTGTAACTCATTTCACTTCATATCCCTGCTGTGTATAGCTTGGTCTGACTTCAGCCTCTCTGGAGAGCCAAGCTGGCCTGAGCCACTTGTGATGAGGGAGACCTGCCTGCAAAATTCTTCAAACCATGGAGCATTTGTGACTAAATTAGTTAATTATGGACTATATATAGTTAACTAGTTATCTTCTACCCTCCCTCCACTCTCATCATGTGACCTTCTCCCTGCCCCAGATAATGGCTTAAGTGCTAGAAGGTTTTATTTGCACTACAGAGAGGGCAGTGATGTTAGAACATCTGTGTCTAATGGAGAAGGTGGGTAGCATGGGAAAGCAGCTGTTTCAGAACATATTGGTAGGCTAGCTCAGGTGCCAGGCCTCGTTACTAAGAGCACATAGCAGCTGCTCTTGTGTTTGGATAGCATTTGGCTGTACTGTATTGTAACAGAATCGTGACCACTCATGCACCTTTGGAGCCAGATCTGTGACATTCAAGAGGGATTGATTCTCCTAAAAGCAATTGACAATGTGAATTTTCTGCTAGGTCATCTCAGGGGAAGGGAGGAAAGAAGAAAGCTGAGACTGCCTAATGATCCTCTGGCTCCCTCAAAGAAGAGTAGCAGGACAGAGGCAGTATGTGCTCTCAAGCACGAGTGCCTCAATATTGGGTCCGCCGTGAATTGTGTGTGGAAAGTGCAAAGGCAGAGAGTGCTGCTCCCACTGGGTGCTAGATCTGCCTTTTATGCTCACTGACGGCGTGGATCCCAGCAAGCCGTGCACACAGCTCTTTCTGTTCACCTGCCTTGTATTTCTATGACTGCCCTGATCGTCTCCTGGTTAGCATACTTTCTACTGGATAAAAACCCTGCAGTTGGGAGGTTCTGTTACCCAGGCCCTGATTCTTTCACCCAACTGTACAATGCAGAATCTCCAGGTGTTTCAAGAGGCGATAAAAGTCAGTTTGCCCACGTGACTTTTGGGGGATAGCGTGAACTGCTGCTCTTAGTTCCAGCAGGTTTTTGATGGCGCCGTGGCACTTCTGTCCCTTAAAAGCACTTCCAGCATGCAAGAGCCAGGAGGAGCAGGAGTTTTGGGGTTTTAAGCAAACTGAAGATTTTTCCTTTTTTTAGAAGGGGGTGTGGTTGCCCTGGGCTGGCAGCATGCGCAGGCTGGGGGAAGGTGAGACAGCTGTTTATTGATTTCCTCACTGTCCCTCGTCTGGCTGCCACTCAAAGCTACAGCCAGCCTTCCTTAGCTGGATGGAAAATCATTTCTCTTGCATTTTCAGTTGAACTGTCCCGTTCTAAACTGCTTTTTGAACACCGTTAAAACAGTGACCCCTTTTGCTGCAGGGGTGCCTGCTTTTCAGTGGTGGATGAAGTGACCTGTATATATCCCTTACCTTCCTCACAGCAGTGTTGTAAGGCTACATGTTTGTAAGGTGCTTTGAGATCCTCTGGTTGAAGGGCTGCATTGTGTCAAGCTGATCCCAGAAAACTGAACATACGAATGGCCACACTGGCTCAGACCACTAGTCCATCTAGCCCAATATCCTGTCTTCCGAGAGTGGACAATGCCACATGCTTCAAAGGCATTGAACAGAACAAGGCAATCATCAAGTGATTCCCCCTTGTCGTCCAGTCCCAGCATGTGGCAGTCAGAGGCTTAGGGACACTCAGAGCACAGGGTTGCCTCCTTGACCATCTTGGACAATAGCCATTGATGGACCTGTCCTCCATGAATTTATCTAATTTTTTTAATCCAGTTGTAATTCCGGCCTTCACCACATCCTCTGGCAACAAGTTTCACAGGTTGACTGGGCGTTGTGTAAAGAAGTACTTCCTTATATTTGTTTTTAGTCTGCTGCCTATTAATTTCATTGGGTGAACATAAGAACGGTCAGACCAAAGGTCCATCCAGCCCAGTATCCTGTCTTCCAACAGTGGCCAATGCCAGGTGCCCCAGAGGGAATGAACAGAACAGGGAATCATCAAGTGATCCATCCCCTGTCGCCCATTCCCAGCTTCTGGCAAACAGAGGCTAGGGACACCATCCCTGCCCATCCAGGCTTATAGCGATTGATGGATCTATCCAGGATGACCCCTGGTTCTTGTGTTATGTGAAGGGGTAAATAACACTTTTTTATTCACTTTATTCACTTTAGCCACAGCATTCCTGATTTTATAGACCTCTATTATATCCCCCCTTAGTTGTCTCTTTTCCAAGCTGAACAATGTCAGTCTTTTTAATATCAGAGGGGTAGCTGTGTTAGTCTGGATCTGTAAAAAGCAACAGAGTCATGTACATGCATCCGACGAAGTGGGCATTCACCCACGAAAGCTTATGCTGCAATACATCTGTTAGTCTTAAAGGTGAGTCTTTTTAATAGCTCTTTATATGGAAATTGTTCCATATCCATAATCATCTTCGTTGCCGTTCTCTGTACCTTTTCCATTTCTGATGTATCTTTTTTTTTTTTTGGATGGGTGACCAGAACTGCATGCAGTATTCAGAGTACCAGGGATTTATAAAGTGGCATTTTTATGGTCTTACTATCTCTCTCTTTCCTAATGGTTCCTAATGTTCTGTTTGCTTTTTTGATTGCCGCTGCACACTGAACAGATATTTTCAGAGAGCTATCCACAATGACCCCAAGAGCTCTTCCTTGAGTTTTAACAGCTAATTTAGACCTCATCATTTTGTATGCATAACTGGGATTATGTTTTCCAATGTGCATTACTTTGCACTTATCAACGTTGAATTTCATCTGCCGTTTTTGCTGCCCAGTCACCCAGTTTAGTGAGATCCCTTTGTAACTCTTTGCAGTCAGCTTTGGACTTAACTATCTTGAGTAATTTTATATCTTCTGCAAATTTTGCTCCTCCCTGTTTACACCTTTTACCAGATCATTTACAAATGTGTTCAACAGCATTGGTCCCGATACAGATCCCTGGGGAACAACACTATTTACCTTTCTCCATTCTAAAAAAGTGACTGTTTAGTCCTATCCTTTGTTTCCTGTCTTTTAACCAGTTACTGATCCATGAGAGAACCTTCCCTCTTATCCCATGACTGCTTAGTTTGCTTAAGAGCCTTTTGTGAGGGACCTTGTCAAAGGTTTTCTGAAAGTCCAAGTACACTGTATCCACTGGATCACCCTTGTCCACATGTTTGACCCTGTCAAAGAATTCTGATAGATTGGTGTGGCATGATTTCCCTGCACAAAAGCCATGTTGACTTTCCACAACAAATTGTGTGTGTGTCTGATAATTCTGTTCTCTCCTCTAGTTTCATCCAATTTGCCTGGTACTGAAGTTAGCTTACTGGCCTGTAATTGCCAGGATCGCCTCTGGAGCCTTTTAAAAAAATTGGCGTTACATTAACTATCCTCAAATCATCCGTTACGGAAGCTGATTTAAATGACAGGTTACATACCCCAGTTAATAGTTCTGCAATTTCATATACGTGTTCCTTCAGAACTCTTGGGTGAATACTATCGAGTCCTGGGGACTTTTTATATAGTTTAATTTATCAATTTGTTCCAAAACCACCTCTATTGACTTCTCAACCTGAGACCGCGCCTCAGATTTGTCACCTAAAATGAAGGGTTCAGGTGTGGGAATCTCCCTCACATCCTCTGCAATGAAGACAGATGCAAACAATTCATATAGCTTCTCTGCCATTGCCTTGTCTTCCTTGAGTGCACCTTTAGCATCTTGATTGGCCAGTGACCCCACTGATTGTTTAGAAGCCTTCCTGCTTCTGATGTACTTTAAATATTTTTGCTGTTCATTTTTGTCTTTTGCTAGTTGCTCCTCCAAATTCTTTCTCAGATTGTCTAATTAAACTTTTACCCTTGACTTGCCAGAGGTTTATGCCTCTTTTTATTTTCTTCAAGAAGATTTGACTACCAGTATTTTTGCCTGTAACCAGTTCTTTTACTCTGTTGTTTAGCCATGGTCCTCTTACTACTCAAGGTGTAGAAGTTCAATATTATTATGCAGGACCTGGAAGTGGGCGATGGGAAGAAGATAGGAGGAGTCTTTGGGTAACAGCTGTACTTACAGTGAAAGTTCTTACAGGAGTGTGAAATCTGGATTGGAACTTTTGCTTGAAGGAGGGTAAATTTGGAGTATGATAGGAAATCCAGCACTTCTTTCCTGAGATATGAGAGAGAAAAATCTCATTGCTGCAAGGTAACCCCCAAGCTTGCTACTTGCCCATTGGCAGCTTTTTACAAATGCTAGTGCAGAGCTTAGATGGTAATTTAATTATGGGAAGGGATTACATGTCACTCAAAAGCCTTTCTCAGTAAGTAGCAGAAGGATCTTTTCGGATACATGTTTCCTGACTGACCAAGTTATTTAATAATCTAATAGTAATTGGATGGGAACTGTTCAGGAGTCATTGATATAGGTTTTCAAACCCCACTTTGTTAAGAGTTTAACCACATTTAACCAGAGACACGGGATTTTATTAGAGAATAAATAACTGCAGTTGATGTTTGCACCCTCTCAGTTGTGGAATACTTTGATTTTTTCCTAGGCTACAGTAAATGCCCGCCCCCAGCGCATCCTTGACAGCTCCTCCCTCACGCAGTCTGCCCCAGCCAGCCCTACCAACAAGGGCATGCACATCCACCAAGTGGGGTAAGTAGCCTCCTAAATGTTCTTACCTTGCCGGTTCCAGCTGAGTGGATTTGTGCATTCGTTCCCCATCACAAGCCATTCAGCCACCCCAGTTAACTGAGACGCAGATGAGAAACTTGCAGAACTCTCAGTCGCTTTCTGTCTGGTCTTCCTCTAAACACTGGTAAAGGAGAAATCCCTGTAAAAAGCTGGGGATTTCCCTCTGGCGCCCTCATCGGGACAAGGAGGAGCCTGGCACACTGACTGCAGGTAAGTGGAGAAGCAGGATAAAGACTCATGCTCTCATCCCTCATTGGTTTGATCTGAGGTAGATGGAACCTACATTTCCCCATAGAACTGATCTGTCTGCTCTCCACTCTGAAATGGTGAGGACCCAGGGTTACCTGATCAACAGCAGACGCTGCGTCTAAATGATCCAGAGCAAGAATGACATGGGCAAGTCTGGGCTTTCGAAATGAGCTTCTGTTGTGGTTATTCCCAACCCCAACCTCTCGCCCAGTGGAAAACAACAACTGGCCCTTGCACCCTTGCAAACGTCATGCCAGAAAACCTCACAGCGGAAAGGGGACAAAAACATGTGAAGATTCTGTAGCCATGTGTTTGTTACTGGCCATGGAACAGGGAAAACATCAGGTTATCTCTGCCTTATACTCTGCAGCTGACATGATCCCTGAACTCCTTGGTGAGCTAGAATCACTGTTAACATGTCTTGGGTACGGTGCCATAACTGTGTTCTTATGAATCATTGTGACCATGGCAACCTCAGTATTCCCCAGTGAGCAAAGCTGTTTAAATCTCTAGACCTGAATTTAGGTTTGGCACAGCAGCCAAGACTCGTTTTTATTTTGGAGGGAGATGGCAGTGAAGTATAAAGCCTAAAAAACAAAAGAACAAACCTGTACCTTCTAAAATAAAAACAATGGCAAGGAAAGGTGCAGAGGTGGCACGGTTAGTGATTTTGAGGGCATGCCCTTCTCCAGCACCCAGGTTTATAGTCTAGTTGTAGTCATCCCCCGGTAGATGGATTTTCCACCTTGCTCACGTTGTAGGAAACTGGTCCTTTCTCAAAGGTGGAAGCCATTATTTGGTTGTATTCCATCCCGGAGAAGCCTGAATTTCAGTGGATGTTCATCAGCTTGGTTCAGAAAGTGTGTTCATCCCTGTGTTCTTTCCCAATATTAGAGGGTCTCCTCCAACTACCAGCACAAGCATCTCCAGCCTGACAAACGACGTGACAAAACCGCCAGTCAGCCGGGACCTCCCATCTGTAAGACCTTCAAATGTAGGCAGTCTTGGGGTCCAGTACACCCCCCACTCCCACCAGTTCCCCAGGACGAGGAAAATGTTTGACAAAGGGCCAGATCAGGTAAAATGGATCTTTCTACTAGCCGTGACCCCTCTACCTTGTGTACTTTTTGTCACACGTCCTGTTCTCTGCTCTCCTACTTTCTAAATATCCTTCTTTGCTTTTTGCAGCTGCCACTGACTCCAGTTTAGTTTCCTCTAATCCTGCCAACATCGATAAAGTAAAAAATTTAATTGATTATTTTTCCTCGTCTCCAGGATAAATGTCGCTTTGTGGCTCTTGATGTGACATTACTACCTGCTGCTGCTTCAGAGACGTGTTTAATTGGAAAAGGTTATTTATTGTTCTGTAAACATTCAGTTACTTTACATAAATTGAGACTGCTACCTCACCTTAATGAACAAAGTTTCAGAGACCTTCTCAGAGGCCAGGAGTCAGTCGCTCTCCTTTATTGCAGGAGAGAATGTCAGATCCTTTCAACAAGCACCTTTAGTGTTGGTGGGCCCCACAGGAGCAGCCCTTGTCACACAGTTGTAGGTCATGGTGCACTCAGATCTTCATAATCCCTCTGCTACTGTCAGAATATGCATGTGTTCTCCATCAAGTCCATCCAGATAGAAAGAACAACAGTCCATACCGGCTGCAGTGGAGAAGCACACAGGTCAGACGCATCTAGTGTTTTCATTGTTCAGTGCCAAAAGGGTTCATTGGGTTGATGCTCAGACAATACTTGGTCCTTGTTTAGTACTTTTCAAAGGCGAGCAGGTGTAGTTATCCCTACTTCACTAACGGGGAACCTGACACACACAGGTGGTGACTTGTTCTGCGTCAGTGGCAGGAGCAGGGAATGCAGCCCATGGGAACCCAGTGGAACTGCCCCCATCCCATGCTAGGTCCATTTGACCAGAGCTGCCACCCCTGGGAGAGAATGCAGAAGTGTTTTAGTGTCTGACTGCAGAAGGAAGCCCAATGAGTAAGAGCTGGGGTCAGTGAGGGATTTACATACTGCCAGCACTGGCTAGAGCCAGGCAGGTGCTAGGCCTGTTTTCACACGTCATTTCATGCAGCCAATTCATTTCACTCTGAACTTGGATCTTTCTAGCCCTTGGAGGCTCTTTCGCAGAGGCTGCCAAACTGTACCACACGTGAGAAAAACGGGGGGAAGCAGCTTCATCGCGGAAGGAGAAGAGCCCCACTCACTGGTGTGTGCAGATAGTGCTGTTAGAAAGTGCCACATGGTCAGACCTGGAGACGGGATTCCTCTCTGCACCGATGCAGCCCAGTCAGCAGCATTACAGCTTCCCTGCCCTAGCAGGACCAACCACCTCGGGGAGGAGAGGGGAATTCAGCCTCCCTGGCTCGTTCAGTCCTTGGCCTCTCTGCCAAGACTGCCACCTGTAACGATGCTCTCTGTGAGGTGGACAGCTGGCTGCTAGGAATTGGAGAGTGGCCACTGCACAGCAGTCAGATGGTCATGCCTTTGGCACACTACTGGGCAGGAGGGACCAGATTCCGGTCAGCAACTTAGAGCTGAAACTCGGTGTAGCCCATTACGAAGCCACCTCGGCCATGCAGTCCCAAAGACAGATACATCTTTAATGAGCTGGATGAGGGTTGATAGTGGCCTTTCCCTCCTTCTTCTATATGCCTTTTCACCCTTTTTATGCCTGTACGTATGCTGGGCCCTGTTCTGAGGTTGGGGCCAATAGTTTTTTCTTGAATCATTTTCCCTATCCCCAATTGTGCCCTATGCTAGACTCCAGGCAGGCCATGGGAGGGAGCCAGTGCTATTACTTCATGCTTACAAAATAGCAGTGCTCAGAGGCCCTAATCATTCCTGGAGCCCATGCTGTGTACAACATGTACAAGGTGAGAGGCGGCACCTTACTACGTAGGGAGGTTGTACCTTGCTACGTTGAGGGGTTGCACCTCAATACGTCAGGAGTGATGTGTAACTTGTTTGTACCAGTGTTGTCAGATGCTACTGGTGTGATGCTCTGCTTTCTCCTGTGTTGATATCACTCGGCTGCGTGCGTGTGTGTGTTCCCTCTGTGTGCGGTCCCAGCTCTGCAGATAGCTGACACAGCAAACCTTACTTACTTACCAGTGTAAGTAAGGCCTTCACTTACTACCCTGGTTAGCGTCTCCATGCTCTCCCTGAGGAGCTAACAGAGGGGCTGTTCTTTCAAAGCGTGGCATGCACAATCTCATATCTCGGCAGCACCTTTCAGCATCTATCCGCTCAATTTCTCTTTGCAGTTGAAGTCGGCCTATGATATTAGTTCCGTGTGGGCTCTGGGAAGAGAGCCAGCACTTTGAATGGGGATGGACAGCATCATTAACAAAAAATGTTTCCCTCCGTGTTCTCTTCCTGGGCAGACCACTGATGATGCAGATGATGCTGTTGGACACAAAATCTTCATTTCGGCCACAATGCAGACAGGATTTTGTGACTGGAGCGCAAAATATTTTGCTCAACCGGTCATGAAGGTAATATTCTCCCTCCATTCATGTTTCTTGAATCACAGCCCTGGGATGCTGACCCCTGGAAATGTGGGCGCAATGCGCTCTCCCTTCCCTCGTCATTCCTTTTCTGTTCATCCTATGGAATGAGAACGTTGCTCGCACACCACCCTCCCTGCTACTTTTTTGATCCACGTAACCACCTTGCCTGTAAAATGTGGGCAGAGGAACAGAGAGACGATCAGAGGGAGGGGAGGATTTAGTGGCATGTTAGCAGAGAAAGAGCCCCAGAGTAGGAAGTAAAAGCTATGCCCATGTGAGTAGGAGGGCCAGTATGTGGGGAGGGTCTGCTTGTTGGTGCCACTGGTCCAGTCAGCTAAGCAGCGTTGCCTTACTGTGAAGGTTGAGCATGGCTGCAGCTTCCAAAGAATTGTATTATCCATCAATAGCTGACATGCTGATGCCGTGACTGAATTGTTACGCATCGCACAGTGGCAGTTAGGTGCTCCAGTTACATCCACCACGAGAAGCACAAATTACATACACAACTCAGAGTAACAAACAAAAATTCAGTCCCCCACTAAACAAAGTAACTGGGCCATGGACTAAACTCTGCAGCACTGATGCTCCAACAGTGAGAACAGATTCTAAAGTAGGGGAGAGGGGGGCCCAGCCCCTGGTTGTGGGGCTTTCAGCCAAAGGAACTTGACAACAGATGTCTCCTCGATTATGAGGGTTTGTTTCAAAGCAGCAGGGTCCATGTCATATTAAGTATTTTGTGTGTTTTCCCCACAACTTCCCTTACTAGTTACCTGAGACATTTGTGTTCGAAAGTGGGGTTTCTCCCTCCCCATTTGTCACCTTCTTCTTGCTTAATTCTATAGCAAAGTTATAATGCTGAATTGTCACATTGCGATCATTTCCATAACAGATACATGTCATAAGCAGAGGGGTGACGTCCTTACACTGGAGTTAACACTTCCCTAGCACACTGAGGACTAGGTGTACCTTGCAAATGTTAACTGATCCTCTCAAACCTGCAAGATGGAATAGGGTGGGTGGGTAGATGGGTAAGTAAAGCAAAGCCAAGACTTGGTCACAGGTTCAAGCATGAGGCGGGTGTACGTCGTCACGGTGACGCTGGTCTCTACAGTTAATACCTGTCCAAATCCAATACACGCTTTTCTAGTAACTCTTTTAAGACTTTGCTGGATGTGGAAGTCCCTCTTTAAAAGCAAGTTTTGTTTTGTGTGTGCTTGTGACAACAAATGATCTTGCTCTGAGCCAGGCAGCACAAGGGTGTATTCAGGTTAACTTTCCTGGGAAAATGCTGGAGATTAATCATTCTTCCCTGCCAGCCCAGAGAACAAGAACAATAAAAACAACTTGGTTGTTACAATAAACGTCACTCTCCTTTTGCTGTGTAATGAAACCCCTGTATTCCAGCAGCAAGGGCACAGACGTGGCTTTCTTCCCACCTTTGCATTTAGGTTTCTGGCTGTGCTGATGCTAAAACAAGTGGAGGAAATCATTGAGAATGCTGCCTTAAGTGAAGACTATTTAATCCCAGTGTCAGCAGAGCGTGTCCTCCACTCCAAGTTAGATTTGATCCTGCTTGCTTGAGTGCAGGTTTAGAGCTGTGACCTACTCACAGGCATCTTGTAAAATCTCCTTTATCTCAGAAAGGGGGTTTGACAGCAACTGAGGATCTGAAATAGTGCCCAGGAAAAACTCCCGCAGCCTTGATTACTTAAAAGAAATTACAATTACAATAAGGAAAGAGGGTGGCAGTGGAAATTGTGGTGATGCTGAATCTCCTTTGAGATACATGGGCAGGAGACAGACAGAGGACTTTGTGTGGGGGTAGGTGAGGGTGGGAGACTGGGAGAGGAGTTGTGGCTGCAGAAGGGGCGGTAAATTAGAATGGGTGGTTGGCAAGCCTCAAATTGTTTGCTTGGGAAAATCTGTATTTTCTTAGCCCTGGAGGGTGAATGGGAGATGGCTAATGCTGATCTCAGGGCAGATTAACATGGTGTTTCCAAAGACGCGTCATGCAGGGATTTGGAACTGACAGCACAGGTACTTTGACTGCTGAGGGGAAAGAAATGTGTGCTGCCAGGACTGCCAATGCGTGGATTCTGGGGAATTCCTGGATCGCAAGGTTGCAGAAGTTTGTGGGAGAGGAAGGATGCGGGAAGTGCTGGGTACAGACTGATTCGGGCGTGAAGAGGTAGCCTGCATTGGCATCATGTTTTGCCCACTCTGTGGCATCTAAGTGCTGACTTTTAAGAGGTTGTGATTTACCAGACACTGTGGTGATTCCCTTGGGTGGAAATGATCTGCCCCTGATCTCTGCTGTACACCTCAGACAATGTATGAGAGCAGATTTGGACAGTCTCAGAGACTTGTGTCCAGAGGCTGTGATAGTTTGATCTGGCCGAGTGTCTGAATAATTGCCACAGAGACAATATGAAAGCTATTAATATGTGTCCAAAGAATATTAATTGGGAAACGGGAGTGTTCATGGCTGCCCAGAAAATGGGTGCGGTATGGCATAGAAACATTACGAGCTCTGACACCTCTACATCTGTTGGTAGGGCCCTACGAAATTCACAGTCAGGAAAAACATCACGAACCGTGAAATCTGATCTTGTGTGTGCTTTTACCCTATACTGTACCCTATATACTCACGGGGGAGACCAGCGTTTCTCAGATTGGGGATCCTGACCCAAAAGAGAGTTGCAGGGGGGTCGCAAGGTTATTTTAAGGGGGGGTTACAATATTGCCACCCTTACTTTTGTGCTGCCTTCAGAGCTGGGCTCCCGGCCAGCAGCCGCCGCTCTCCAGCTGCCCACCCCAGCTCTGAGGCAGCCGCAGCGCAGAAATAAGGGTAGCAGCACCGC